GTCACCCTGATCAAGAATATATATACTTTGTGGGGTCTGCCACGCCTCCTTCTCCCTGTTACATACATTTCAACAAAACCATTATACCCTGATTTCCCATTGAAAATGGGTTCAGGGTATAAAAAGGGTACGAATAACTCCACAATATTGTATCTTTTTTTTTTTTTTTTTTTTTTTTTTTTTTTTTAAATTTTAGTATAATAATTCTAACGGTTACTAGAGCAACAACTATTGTTATAAATATAGCCTGTAGTTGAGGTGATTAATTTTTAATTGGGTTGGCAATATCAAAGCAAAAAAGGGTACGAATAACTCCACAATATTGTATCTTTTGTTTTTTTTTTTTTTTTTTTTTTTAATTTTAGTATAATAATTCTAACGGTTACTAGAGCAACAACTATTGTTATAAATATAGCCTGTAGTTGAGGTGATTAATTTTTAATTGGGTTGGCAATATCAAAGCAAAAAAGGGTACGAATAACTCCACAATATTGTATCTTTTTTTTTTTTTTTTTTTTTTTTTTTTTTTTTAAATTTTAGTATAATAATTTTATATAAAATGTATATATGTACGAAAAATTCAAAATATATATATATATAAAATATATATTTTTAGATTTACATACTCATTGTTACTATTTATATTTTTTTTACTCAATAATTTTTTTTTTTTCTCTCTTAAAATCAATAATAGTTTCTTTTAAAATATATTTTTAGCTTTACATATTTGATTTCGTTTTACATTAAAAAATTGTGGTATTATTTATTCATGAATTTATTGTTTGGCAATAATATAATTTTAGTTATATTAATAATTAATTATTTCTGATACAAATGTTAGCTTTTAATATTATCAAGGTGAAACTTAAAATAAATTTTTAAATGTTTTTTTTTTTTTTTTTTTTTTTTTTTTTTTTTTTTTTTTTTTCATTATTATTATATTTCAGTTAATCTAAATTTTCGATTTATTTGAGCAAATCATTCCCCTAGACACTTAAAGGGTATAACAAATCTATCATCGCTTGACTGCTCTTAGTTATGCTGCTTTGATTTCTACTTTACAACATGAGCATATTTGCTACACGAGAAATGTATATATACTGAGTACTCTGTGTGTGGGTGTGTGTGTGTGTGTGTGGGTGTGTGTGCGTTTGCTCTGAGGCCATTATAGTTGGGCTAAACATTATTGGAAGTAAACTCAGAGCGCTACAAGCATTGGTATTTCTGAAGTGTATCAAGGCATGAGTTGCATTCAATAATGCCTTAAATATTGTTGCTATTATATCCTGGCTAACCAAAATCTGTGGCTAAAATTTAACTTGAAAATGTTGATGAAATATTTACAGCTGCTTCTGACTAACGGGGCAATGCACTGTTAAATTGAGTAAGGAAACGAGATTTCAGTTTAAGCTAGAGGAAATTGGATGCAAACTCTTTAAATGATTTTTAAACCTTTTTAATTTATATACTATGTCTATATATCATATTTATTTATTTATATATATTTATTTATTTATACATTTTTATATAAGATATTTTTATATAAGCAGAGAAGCATTGAAATATTTTCTGCTTTATTGTGCTTTATAAAGCATACTTGAAATAATATTACTATTATTTTTATTGACTGTGAGCTAGAAAATGATATAGATAAATATGGCAAAAGCAAGCTTAGAATGGAACAATTCCAATGTGGAGTGCTTTGGGCCAAGGCGGAGTTAATACGGATACAATGGATTGTTTCTTTCGTATGACAAAACTATGCCAATGACATGTGTCAGGTTTACTAAATTCTTCTTTGTACTAATGACAGATAAATAAATATTAATATCTTTGTATATTAAAAATATCTACTCCATCAGCTTCTAAAAGAGGAACTACTCTCAGTTTAAGTATATATGTATATACATATATATATATATGTAATAATACTTTGGTCTGCTATAGGAATTATAAAATGATGTTTTCCAGCAACAATCCACACCTAAGCCAACCACATAGACAAACACTTACACACACACACAGACACATAGACACTTACAACTACACCCACACTTTGCATTTTATCTGTAAACTAATTGCGGCTATCAATTTCATCAGCAAATTTTCGTCCACTCACTCTTATTTCATATCGATAGCTAAAAGCTGTCTCATTTATTATGCGCCTCAAAAAAAAAAGGAGAGAAAGAAAATATATTTTTTATCTGAGCAAATCACATCTAAGGCAAAGACGCAGGGGGCGTGGTTGCCGACGATAAGGACTTACACTGCGGCCAGACGTTTGCAAAAAAAAAAAAAAAAAAAAAGAATAATAATAAAAGCCGAAAAACCTTTAAGGGTCAGGTTAGCCTTTTTTTATGTCTATAAGTTTGCAGCTCTATTGTCGCCCAAACGTCCTTCGTCCATTTTTCTATTCCTTTCGTATGTATGTGTGTTTGTTTGCTTGTATTTGTGGCATAAAACGCAATGCATGTTGTCCTGTCGCCTGTCGCATGCTTCGTTGAGTTTTTCAAGCTTCACAGACGCTGAAAGTTTTCTATTTGCAATGCTCACTCTAGGCACCTGAATGGGGTATATTGTGGGTCTAGTTCGTGAAATTTCAAATGAAAGACAGCTTATTAAAAAGAAACATTGAAATTATCCTTTATCAAGCAGTTTTTGCCCCTTTAAACATGTCAAAATTCAATCGATTTTCCGTATGTAAATGAATGGAGTATGCCGGGTTTTACCCAAAAAACTGACGGGAATAGTCTGAAAACGGTTATGGCTTGAAGTGAAAAATATACTTTCAGGCTATACGAAAGTATAGTATATACCTTCACACCATTCGAATTCAATTCTATAGGAAATAAATAAACATCATCATCATGGACATACAGGGTATTTCAATGTTTATCAGCTGCTAAAAATCTCTGAAATAAATTGTATAAAATGATGCTTGGCACCCTTTTTGACACCTTTAAATTTGACGCCATATTAAAGTAGCTGCCGAGTCCAACGGAAATGTTAGCCAGATTCCTATGATTCAAGGATCGTTAGTCAGCCTCAGGGTCAGGCAAGTGGAATGGTTTCGCATCACAATTGACTGGAGTAAAACGAAATGTTTAACATAGTTCAGTTTGTATGTTTTATTGGCTTTTATTAGTTTTGTTGTTGGGGGTTTATTGATTTTTAAAAAATTATGCTTATACGCTAACTACTAACAAATTGTCCATTAACTAACGTAAATTTAATTAACATTTGGTATTCGATTTGTTTTTGTTTTTCTTCAGAAATTTCATTTCAATACATGTTACAAGATTATTATAATTTTTGCTTATTTTTATTTTGTTTTGATTTATTTTTAATTTTAATTTATATATATGTTTCTTTATATAATTTAATTTTACTTTTTTTTTTTTTTGGTTGGGGGAAAGGGGATTTACCACGTGTATTTGCTAGTAAATGCAGAAATATGGATTTTTTGTATTTTTTTTTTTTTAATTTAATTTTATTTTTTTTGTTATTCAACTGGGTTTAATTTAAATTTAATTGTAGTCATTTAGTCTAGTAGTTGGTTTGTGTTTCTGTTTCTCGTTCTTTTTCTCTGTCGTTTTCTACGTGTAACTTTGCCTCTCTACTTGGCTCATAATTTAATATTAAAATTACACATAAATTATTATATACAAAATTATTTTACAGTTTTTTTTCAGTTTAATTTTTTTTTTTTATAGAAATTTTTCTTTTTTCTTTTTAGTTTTAAATTTCACCAAAAAGTTTATTGCCTCACCAACATAAACTTTTGTGGCCACGTGACCAGCCAAGCAGCCAAGCACCAATGGCCAGGTGCAAAATCGTTTCGCAATCGGAGACGTGCCTCGGCCCCGCAGTCCGGAGCTGGAACAGCCGGAGCTCGGATTGTGTTGTTCTGCGGCAAATGTCTGGCAGGTTTACTTACGTGCTAAATCTGATGCCATTTATTATACAGGGTGTGGGTATATGTATGTATTTGACTAACTGTATCAAGTTTTATAAACTCTTTTAAATAGTAGTATATCCATAGTACGCTAGTTCATTTATTTTATTTTTATTTAACTTGGTATTTTGCGATTTATCAGTTTTGGGTCAGGTTTTAGGAAAGGGAAAGGAATTTAGTAATGTGAAGAAACGAAAAGTAAAGTAAAGTTGAAAAACGTATTAGACATATCAGCACTATATCTTATGTAGCTAAGAAATATTTATGCTGGCTTTGAACTAGTACTATGACATTTATATTTGAAATGACTGAACTCTTATACATAATTGAAAATCAAAAATAATTTCATTTTATTTTCTCACCTTAATTTTTTTTTTTTTTTAGGTTTTTTAATTTTATTTACTTAGAGTAAAATGGTTTTGTTTTCCAGTCTATTTTTGATTTAAATTCCAACGGTCTTAAGTTTTTTTATTTTATTTTTTATGTACAGATGAAGTTAAACGAAGCGAATAATTTTGAAAAGATTATTAAAAATAATAATTTGAATATAAATATTTGTAGTATAGTTTAAATTTGCTTAGAAAAAAAATTACTCTTGAAAATAATTAAACTAATAGATTTATTAAAATTGATTTGTAGAATTTTGCAAACTATTTATTAATGTTTTCATTTTTTAAATATTTTTAATACAATAAAAACTAATATAGGAAACCTAAATACATTACAATTAAAATTAAGTAAAATATATTTTTTGCATAAAAAGAAAAAAAAAAAAAAAAAAAAAAAAAAGAATTTACAAATTTTTTACTAAAAATTATTAAAGTAGTTTTTGTACAAAATGTACTTAGGTCGAAATAGAAAGAAATAGAAGTTCTCTCTCATGAAATTGTTCAAATTGAGAAAAGTTCAGTACAGTTGAATAGTTTCAGAAGCTTAAAGGCTTAGAGAAATACATTCTTTTATTTGTATATGTATTTTCGATAGCTATTTATATAAATTTATATGTATTTGCTATTTGTCAATATCTATGGAGAAGTTGTAGTAGTAGTAGTACACGTAAAGGCTCTGCTTTAGTTTAATTCGTATTTCTGGCTTACAAACTAGCTTAGGCTAACATGCACACACGCACAGATACACAGACACACAGAGAGGCAGACAGACACATATACAGATGTATTAATGGAATACTTAAGTTTTGTTAGTTGAGCTGAAATTGCTGCACAATCCACATCTACATCCACATCCACATCCGTTTCCATATCCTGGCATTACGCTTACAGCTGAAACATCATTTTTAGCTACAACTTAACTATTTATTTTTATAATACAACTTTGCCGACTTCCGTCGTGTTGGCTGCACCACTGCCACCGCCCGGTCCAGCACCGCTGCCCGTTGCCACCACGGCCAACGCATTGTCCACGCCCACTTGAGAAGGCGACGGCTGCTGCTGCTGTTGCTGCTGTTTGGCTTTCGCTTTATCATGCACGTACATCGCGGCAAGGGCATTGAAACGTGGACCCCAATTTTGTAAATAGTTAAAGTCTTGATTCTCATCGTCGGTGCCTGCAATGGGCATGAGTGGTTTTATGTCAGTGTCAAGGTATTTTCTGTGCTTCTTTGACGCTCTGCTCTATGCTTACCTGATGCCAAAGAGCTGAGCGATTCGGCAATGCTGCCGCTGCCCTCGAACGTGAAATTGCGCAGGTCGTCGAAGGGCGGCGCATTGGGATCCTTGTCGATGCGCTGCTTGCGCTCCTCCATCAAATAGGCCACATTCAATTCCTGCCCAGGCGGCAGCAGTGTCATCACAGGATCTGAAAGCAGAGAAAGATTTCAAATCTGTCTCTATCTCTCTCTCTCTCTCTCTGTATCCCTCTCTGTTTACTCACATATAATGGGCATCTTGCAGGCGGCTATGTCCGGTGGCATTGTGCCGCTCTGCGCACTGATTGGTATTTGTAGTGGGGTTATATCGAATGCCGTCATATCATCCTCGCCGCCGCCCTCGTCCTCGTAGCTAATCACCGTTTCGCGCACATCCTTTTCCGTTCCGGAGCGTTTCTTCTTCTTGGTGGTTTTACGTTTGCGATTGTACAGCACGAATATCAATGCAAGAACTGCAAGTGAATCGGAAAATTTTATTGAAGCATTGTTAGAGTTTTGAGTTTGCTTCAATGTTGCTTCTCTCTGAAAAGCTTTGGCATTTTTCAGGATTTCGTGCAAACATTTTGAACAATATTTTTTTTGATTGATATTGATATTTTGAATTTTATGTTATGAATTTGAAGTAAGGAAAGGAAAGGATAGGCTATTAGGATTTTTTTGTTAGGATTAGTTTGCAAATCTATTTGTATTTAGTCACTCAGAAAATCTCAGCTATCAATAAATTAACCCTAAAAAGGTATTTTTTACACTATTATTAATAAAAATTAAATTGATTGCTTTACTAGAATAATTAGTTCAGCATTTATACTTTCGCTTAATTTTGGTTATCAAATGGGTTTCTGGTTTTTTTATTCTCTGCCAAAGTTTCTTAAAACTTTATAATCAAAATAAAATAACGAGCATGCCGCAAAACTATCTTCTATTAGTTGCCAATTATATGGTGGCAAAATCCTTTATCCATTAATACTTAAAGTTAACGGTTAAATAAATTAGAAGTTCGAGAGATACTTTGCGCTCTGTAACAGAATCAGATAATGAACTAGTTTTAGTTGGGGGCAACTCGCAATGCTTGATAATTGCGAGACTAAAATTTTGCGCACAGTCAAAAGGAGACACAAAAAAAAAAAAAAAAAAAGAGAGAGAAAGAAACATGTAGAGAAATGAAAGAGACGGCGTACACATATGCGACATTCCATGGCTGTGAGTAGTGCCAGCTAGTCGGATTACCAGATGAAGAAAAACAACGAGCATTTCGACTGTACAGAGAAAGTTGTTAAGTTCTTTCGTTTTTGCCGGCTCTTTGGCTTTTGGTTAGAGTTTGCTTAAGCAGCATAAAGTTATTAATAAGTCTCATGCTTGCCGATTCCTTTGGCGACATTTTCTGTACTCATTTTTTTTTTTTCCTTATATTTATTTTCGCTGCTGCTATAAACAAGCAACTGGATGGGACGGGGCGTGGCTCTGTGCGATTGCAAGTGCATTTTATCATTTGCGCTTCCGTTGACAGCAATATTAACTTGGCTGTTTGGGAAGGCTCAGCAAACATGACAGTCAAGTAAAAATAATTAAAACTCTGGGCAGCTGGCTGGCTGGCTGACAGTTAGGATGCGGGTTTGCTCTACTTTCTTGCTGCCCTTCTCTACACTTTTGGTTAAGCGGATTCATTAGTTGGTCCACAATAACTGGCAGCTGGTCGACAAGGCAGCGCCTAGCCGAAACTTGGCCCAAAAAAGTTCATTAATAATAGTCTAGAGTTTAAACATTTCAGCACTTCAAAATCCAGCAGTCCTCATCACAGCGCATGCTAGTTATCATTACAGTTATTATCCGCAGAACGCTATTAAAAACAGGAGTATTCTATTAAGCTAATACTCTAAACATCCATTATCATTAGCAAGCCTGTACAGTGGTATTTCGTTGACGTTTGCCTTTCATGTATACCCAGTAATTTGTAGGTGTTTGTAAGGCTTAATCACATTTATCTTGAAGTTAGAAACCAAATAATTTTCAACGAACTTTCTATGAATCTGTAATAATCAGCTGATCACAGATTTTTATTTTGATAAATATCGATTAAAAATGATGTTTTAATGCGATCTTCGGAATATCTAAAATTTACAAAATTAATATGGTCAGGGAAAAGTTTTGAATACATGATAATAATTTTTATATAATTTTAATTTTCTTCTTGTGCCTCGATGAAATTGATTTTTTAATTGAATGTCTTGCCAAATTTGAATTTAAAATTGTATCTTCTTGATCTGAGGTCTCAAGTCAGTTTCTTTAACATATCTTTATATATTATGTTGTACATCGATAAATATAGATTTTTTAAAGATTTTAACAATACATGGATATTAATTTCATAAGGATACTACTTCCTGAACATCGATAAATATCGATTTCAATCTCAAGCTCAGGTTTCAGTATAAGAGCCCCGCGATATCTTGTGCTTCGATATTTATCAATTTGAAATTCAATTCGGAATATTTGTATGTGCTTAAAAAATTTACAAAATAGAGAAAGTGTTAGATCGATTTTAATCGATTTTAATGCCTGTATGGCAAGAATAAATTCTCATAGTCATAGATATATAGGACCCAGGACACAAAACTGAAGACGGAACTCACATACTTTATAGCTACCATCAAATGTCGATTAGTATCATTTATCAGGCAAGACAAACATTTCCAATAAACAAGGAGTATGTATCAAGCCTGTCTGCTGAAACGTCAAAGTCTTCCATGCTACCTTTTCGATTGCCCTTTCGCAGCGGCGCAAAACTTTGAACATTTTTCTCTAGATTTAATTAGCATCATTAAACGTAAATGGAGTTGTTGTTATGGCCACAGCCACCACCAACGCCACCGACACCAGGAACACTACCAACACCACTGACATTTCGACATCCTACAGTCGACTTTTACTTTTTTTTTTTTCCTAATTCACATTTTTGCCCTACCGGCGCTTAGACAGACAGATAGATAGACTGGTTGGCAGGCACGCAAAAACTCTGAGAATCGTTCCAAGCCGTTAACGGCGAGCGCCGCATTTCAATTTAAAATTTGGTACTTGGGGTTAGTTGTGCATAAAAATGGCTGTGCTACAGCAACAGAAGCTAATCAATGCCTGAAAATTTGAAGAGAAAAGTTTTTAAAAGCATTTAGGAAGGGGTTTTGGCTTCCACTGAAGTATTAAAGAGGTAAAGATAAAATATTTAGATTTCAAATATTGAGACTTTAAATATTGAGATTTTTGACATTGAGACTTAAAAGCCAAAATACAAAAAAATAAATAAATAAATAAAAAATAAATAAATAAATAATTATATATAAATAAAAACAAATATTAATAATAATAAAAAAAAAATAATAATAATAAAAATTAAAAAAAAAATGAAATCGAAATTTACGATAAAAATATTTTTAAAAATTAATATTGTAATTTTTAACTAACAAAAAAGTAAAAAATAAATAAAATATTTTCATAAGATATAATTTATAAATATTTTAAATAACTTCTACAATAACAAATAGTTAATTATATTGAAAGTCACAACATTTTTTTTTATTATTAATTAAAAATAGTTTTAAGGCAATACATAAAACTCAAGAATATATTTTAAATGTTCTTTAAAAATATATATTGAAATTCTTCCGTTTTTTTTTTTTTCTTTTTTATTTATTTATTTTTTTTTTTAATATATATATGTTTGAAAATTTTGTAAATTATTAAGTTTAAAATCTAAATTCCATTCAATTTAATCAATGTTTATTCTTAAAGCCTTTCCTCTTTGTTTTTTAATATTTTTTGTTTAATTATTTGAGCAACGAGATCGAAGAAACAACAAAAAATTGTACATTTAAACTTATTTTGTGTTCTCAATTTTTTATTTCTACTTTTATCTAGTTTTATTTATCAATTATAACAACATTACAATAGTATGTAGAATATCAAAAGGATATCCGAATGTTTCCTTTATGTCTTCAAAGGGATATGGGCCATCGACACAGAAATGGCCAAAGCTAAGTCCAAAGTAACGTTTTCTCATTTTCTCCAATTGTTTGTGTTATTAGACCATTGGGGTCAATGCCGGGTCGAGCATACACACGGCCCACCCAACAGGGGACAATGGAGTCTACGAGTTAGCGTCTATATCCAAGAATAAACAAGAATTGCAAGGAAGCGAGCGGAGGCTGGGAGGAAGCACAAAACTAGTACACTTGTAAAACAACAAAGCGTGTCCTGTTCTTTGGGCTCCTTTGTTTACACTTGGCTACAGTGAACACAAACACAAATACCCACACACACACACACTCACAAACGGGGGCTTAGTTTTTCTTTTTCCAGCTGGCAGAAAAAAACTTCTCATGACCAGGTCGGGTCAGTTGCGCGGCATGGCAAAAAAGCTCATCAGCAGGAGGCAGCGATGTTTTACTTTGTATTCCTTTTTTCTTCACTCTCATTTTGTTTTTGGGTTTTTTGAGCATTTATTATAATTTTTTTTTTTTTTGCTTTTATGCCTGCAGCCGAGTCCGTTCCCTTCTCAAATTTTATGCCAAAATACAGTTCAGCGATTCTGAGATTACAGAGAACCGAGCACTGGGAAACGAATGGGAAAGCACAAAAAGCGTTGACTGTAAATAATGTTAGATAATTATTTAGTTTGTTTTTGTCTTTACGCCACTTAAATGCATCTACAACAACAAAAACAACAACAACGACTAATAAAAAGCAAAGTGCCTACAGCGAAACGAGCTTGTTGTCAGTTTCTTGAAATTTTCACTTCATAAACGCGGTGTTTGCGTGTGTCTGTGAGTGTGTGTCAGTGTGTGTGTGTGTGTGTGTGTGTGTGTGTGTGTGCGACGAGCAGCTTCGGCTGTGCGACAGGACATTCGTTTGCGTTTATTTATTGCGCCTATTTTGCGGTTTAGCGGTTTTATGGCCAACGCGGCGTATGCGTACTGTGTGTCCAGCCGGCCCAACTGTGTAATTAGCTGGCCCGAAGCTGACTAATTAGCTTAAGGTTGTTATTGGTGTTGCTGTTGTTGTTGTTGTTGTTGTTGCTATTTACCATTGTTGTTGGTGCAACTAGAAACCGCACGCCTTTCGCTCATTAAAACCAGCCCTCCTCCGATTATGTGCGTGACACAGCCTTCCTCTTAAATATGCCTTTTAAATAAATTGCCTACGGGCAGTAAGACAGAGAAGGAGAGTGAGAGAGGGAGAGCAAGCAAAATCTCTGCTCTGGTTTCAAGCACCAGCAAAAAGAAAGCTCAGCTAATTGAAAATCCTTTTTGGAATCGTAAAATGAGTCGAGCAGCGTGCAAACAAAAATAAACTGTCGCACATTGCGTATACGCCAGCGCGTACCATTCACATTTGCTTGACTCCCTCTCGCACACGCTTTTTTACTCTGTTCTTTTGTTGCCCCTGAACATTTTGCAAATGACCAAATCCAATTTACGCCCGCTGCAAAGTCCATTAAGTGCCAGTGCGTTCGCAAGAGCACATAGAGTATAGCTTCAATTGAAATCAAATGAAATCTTGGTCTAAAGTAAAAACCAAATCCAGCAAAATGGCTAAATGCCGTTTAGACTTGGGCAGCAGTAGCATTAGCAGCAGTAACAGTAATACCAGCAGTTGCTATATAGAGTGCTTTGAATGGGAATTGGATTTGAGTTGAAAATAAATTTTATAGAATTGAAAATGTAAAAAAAAAAAAAAAAAAATAGTTTAACGAAAGTTTATGAATTTCTATTAAATATATATAAAAATTAAATATGCACATGCGAGTATAAATCTATCTTTTTACAACAACAATATTGGACCAAATACATTAAAATTAAATTAATTATTAATATAAAATTAAATTTGTATCGAATTTTCAAGCATTTTAAAAATTGTGTACATAAAAATTAAAAAAGTACTTGAATGTATATAACAAACATATTTTTATTTTTTGTAAAAATAAATTTTGTTTCATAAACTATGAAAATAATTTAAAATATTTTGTATTTATCAAATGTTTTTGCTTCTTGAATTTAAATTAATGGAAAATACTGAAAAAATGGGCAAATCTCTACGGATTTAGATCCATTTGGGTATACAAGTTCTTTCTATTTTAATCTTTATTTTTTAATCTCAGCTCATTTAAGCTAAAATCGTATTCAGTTTTTAGGCCAAAAAAAATATATATATATATAAATAAAATAAAATTAAAATAAAAATACAAATAAAAGTAGCGGAAATAAATGGAAAGTAAATGTTCAGCATTTTTAAATATTTTGCCAAAATGTTTTTCTGACTTTTATTTTTATTGTACTACATTTTGTTGTGCACTTGTTAATTAGCCACGCTGGCATTTCCATTTGGCTAACAACGCATTCTGTTTGGCCAGGAAGTGGCAACGGCAGAGGGGCGAGAGGGCGTTCAAAAGTAAGCAAGAAATGTGGCACTCTGTGCGCCTTCAGCCCGCCAATGCAAACATTTGTTGATTTTGCGCCGTTAGGGTGTGGGGTTTTTTTATTTTTTTTTTGCCTGCTGGGATTTAAGTGCAGCGCGTCCAACCTACTGAAAATTGCATTTACATGTAAAAACAGACAGCTGAAAGCACGAGAGAGAAAGGGGTGGAGAGAGAGAGGGAGTCTAGGTTATGTAGAGGGCACTGCGGATGCGGCTTAAGCCGCTTAAACTGACACACATGCATGCCAAATTGCAGGAGCTTAGCGAGAGAGAGGACCCAGCTGGCTGGCTTGGTTGGCTGGTTGGTTGCCTTGGCTGTGGCTGTCCCGTTACAGTACTTACTCAATATGATAATCAGGCAAACGAATATGGCGCCCAAGGCGCCCATGCTGAGCTTCAGACGCTGTCCCTCCTGCACCAGTTCACAGTTCTCGCCCCAATAGCCCTCGGGGCAAATGCAGCGATATCGCAAACGTGGCTCCAAATTGATGCACGTGCCCCCGTTCAGGCAGGGCATGTCCAGGCATTCGTTGCGATCGACACAGCCCTTGGTATCCGCTGACATGATGCGTCCCTCGCTGCACCTGTAATGACAGAGCAACGAATGCAGTCAGAAACAGAAACAGAATTAGAGTGAGAGAAAGGGAGAGAGAGAGAGAGAGGGCAGGGAGTGTGAGAGAGGAAATAAAGTTCTAGCGTGTCGTTTGTAAAATTCATGTTGTGCATAACTTTTTAAAAGCTCGCAACTTTTTGTTTCAAACCAACAGCAGAGAGAGAAAAAATAGTTGGCCAGTTGCTGCTGTAGTAGAATTTCCCAGATGCCTATACCACGATGCGCGACCTTTCGCTGCGCATTAAACGTGTTAGTTCCGTTGGTCTAAGTCTCCCTGGCGAGCGTACTCTATGAGGGATTAGTTTATAGTTTCTGAGGGTAATCACAGTGCTTTAAAAATTTATATGAAATTATTTAAATATTTAGAATGCAAGCTTAAGCCTCATGCTGATGGTTTCGTTTTTCATAATTAATAAATAATAATTAAAATATATACATATATATTTTTCATGTAAAGTTCCGTCATATCTTTTGCTAATATATATATATAATTTAAATTGAATTTTCACAATTTTTTTTAGGACTTTAGGACTGAAAATAAAATGCTTATATTTTTATTTATGAATATAATATAAAATTAAATCGAACTAAGGGTTCAGCACTGGCAGCCGGGGACTTCGGCTTGGATGTATATATTTTCAAGCTCTTGGTCATAATTTAATTTACTTGCAAGAATTTTCTGTTTTACTTTAATATATATATATTTTTTTGTCAAATTAAATTTAATTATAATTTTTTTCTAGCTTTCCAACATTTTCTGCATTTTATATAAATTAAAATTTATAACTTACATATCTAACATTTTTGAATAAATATCTATGTATATTTTTCAATCCCCTGTCTTAGGATTATTTTTTTTTTTTTGTATTTCATAACAGAATAATTTATCTAAATTTGATTTATTTTGTTTTTATTTTTTATTTTTTTTTTTTATCTTTGTCCTGTTATAGCCGTCAATACTGTTACATTTTCTTTTACTTTTTCATTTTCATTCATATTTAATCACTCATTCCACTTGCTATTTCATTTTGATAATTAAATGTCTTTTCCCATTAGTTCATTTTACTTTGGCTTTCCCTTTGCTTTCCACTAGTTTATTTCGGTAAGTTCTAGACTTGCTTTGCCCACTTATTTGTGCCTCCTTTCGTGTTCTTTTTGATTACACCAGGTCTCTTTAGAAACACATCTTTGCAGCTCACTTTACTTTCTTGTTTCACTTACTCATTTCGCTGACTCTTTCATTGATTTTTCCCTATATCAATTTTCTTTTGACTTGCTGAAGTCAATTGCTCATTCCACCGGCTAATGCCACTTTTTCATTTCACTCTTTCAGTTTTTCTCATTGCAAGTTGGGTAAGATGCCTATTTGACACTTTCTACATTTCTCATTACCTTTCCACATTCCAAATGCTTCTCGCCCATGTTTCTCCTACCTGTTTATTTCACGTCTTATACTTTTCCCACTCCATTTGCGCTTCCCACTTATTTCTGCCATTTGGTCTTTGTTATGTCGCTTATTCCTTTCACTCGTTCATTTCATTTGCTATTTTTTCACAATTAATATTTCCACAACTTTCTATTACCTCCAGAATTGACAAAAATATAGCATATAATATTAATAATAATATAGCTTTTAAGTAAATAAATGTTTGTAAATATCTATTTAGATTAAGTTACCAATTAGGTAGCGGTGCGCTAAACTGTAAATAAATACATTTTATAATTTCTCTTAAAAATAAACAACTTTCTACTGCATTTCTCTCTGTACTTTGCCAGCTTATATATCCTTTTTCAATATTCCATGTTAAAGTTGTACTTCTTTTTCCATATTTAACTCAACAATTTCTATATCCACTTGATCTTTCCAATTTGTTGTTTGATTAGCCTATTTTACTGCCTCAGTCCACTAACTTCATTAACATTTACATTCAACTTTGTCAATTTCTTGAAGATTTTCATTTCCTCAGAGGAAACTCATTCGAGAGAAAAAATGTTTAAACCAATCGATTTTTGATACTTAGAAGAAATCAGAAATCGTTTTCTATATATTGTCATATTAATATGCCAAATATTTCTTATTAATGTGTTGTCATATTTAGTATGTCAAGGATGGATTAATATGTCAAATATAGTCTTGTTTCATATGCCATATATTGTTAATACAATGCCATATATTGCCATATAATGTCATATTTATATGGCTAAGCTAACATATAAATTGCCATGTATTGTCATATTTCATATGCCGCATATTGTCATATTCATATGCCATATATTGTCATATTTATATACCATATGTCATATTCCCTACGTCTTATATTGTCATATCACATGTGCTATACCGACCGCCTGCCTCAGCCCTTACTTGTCATATACCAATGTCCTGTATAAAATATTGTCAATTTTAGTCTTAAATGTCCACTATAGATTTGCTATATTTTTTTTATAAGCATCATATGTTTATTCAGATATCTCATCACTTTCATTCCATATATCTCTATGTCTAAGCCCTTAGTCCACTTTTCATAGCTTCATTTTGTTTGGCCACTTAAAATTTCACAAATATTTCAGCATTTAAAGTTTGCTACATTTCAGAATTAAGACAATGAAAATAAATTACAAAATAAAAGAACATTTAATGTTTCCTTCCATCCAACCATTTCTCTTTAAAGCCTCTTAACACTTGACATTAATTGAAATACTTATGAATTGCTCAGTTTTAAATACTTTTAACTTCCTGTGCGCTTTCCCTTTTGCATACAAACACACGCACAATTGCTATTTGGGTCAATTCAACATATTAAAAAAAGTTAAGTGTCGAGACAGAGAGAGAGAGAGAAAGGCAAAGACTGCGTGAGTGCGAGTGAGACGGCAAGTGCAAGTCCAACATTATATTTCAGCAGCTGACACGATTCCAGCAGCCAGCGAGTGCACAATGAAATTCGAATTGAGGCTAAAAAGCAGGCATAATTTATGGCACATCGTGGACGACGGTCCAGATGCGGACAGGTGTACGCTGTATGCACTGGGCCCTGGCTCAGTGGGTTGCTATTTAAATTTGCTTAAAGTGCGAACTCCTCAATTCGTCTTACAAATGGGAGCAAAGCAGCTTTTAGCAAAAGTAAATGGAGCACGAAGCTGTTGGCGATAGCAGACCAGCAGAAGCAGCTTGGCAAAGGTGTCATGATGCACTGCTGCATGGAAAGGGAAGGGAAGTGGGAGGTGGTAGGTGGTAGGTGGAGTGAAGGGACGATCAGGTAGAGCCAAGGGGCTCAGGTCTGGCGTCTGTTTGTACTCAGTGTGCCTCAAATGGAGTCACTCGGCAAAACTAATGATGTGGAAAATGTGCTCGCTTCGCCGCCCGGAGTTGCTCGTCTGCTGTTTGGTGTTGCAAATGGCAGCTGCCATGGGCTGCAGTCGATGAAAAGGACAGACCGAAGCCCCATCGAAAGTCGAAAGCGAATGCAAATACATTTTATATATAGCTATACATATACATATATACATATATATATTTTCTGCGGTGTCGTGCTTGGGGAGCAAAAAGATGAAGTTGGGCGTTTCTCTGTCAGTACATGCTGATGACAATTGATATTATTTGTTGTGCGCTTGCCTTGCGATACGTTTGCTCTGCCATCAGGCAGCAGGTGCGCTTGAATATGGCTGTGGGAATGCGTTGAAAAGTTGATGCCACAGTTAATGGAGAAATGATGTGTATCGCATGCATTACGCTCAGTTGGGTTCACCCCCTTCATTGGCTGACTGTTTGTTGTTTTTGGTTTTTTAGCTGTCTGTTAGAAGTAATGTTGACTTTAAATGGGTTGGAATAACCAACATTTTGCTTGTTGCAATTTTTTCTCTATGCTTAAATTTCTTGCACATATTTCTATAAATTTGTAAAGCATCTTAATTTTGTAATTTCTTAAATTTTTCAGAAATGCACTAAGGCACATTGCAATTGTCCTCAGCTGAATAAAACTAAAAAGGCAAATAAATAAAATAATTATTTTCACTATATTGCAAATGCAATTTTGACTCACATTCTATATTAATTTTAAAGCCTATGAAATAAAAGTAAAAATTTACTTTTAAGCTTCTTATCAATTTCTAAAAAGAACAAAATCATGTAATTTAATATTATACATTAATACAAAATATATAAATAATTAAAATTTAAAATAGCACATTAAAATCAAAATAGCCCAATCGTAAAATTAACTAAGTAAGAAAATATTAGAAAGTAAAATTAAAAAAAAAAAGGAAAAAGAAAATTAAAATTACGCTTATATAAAATATAGAAATAGAATTTAAGTAAAATGTTTAATGCTGTAAATAAAAAAATAAATAGTTATAACAAAAAAAAAAAAAAAAAAATAAATGAATAAATAAATAAATAAATAAATGAGAAAAATAAATAAAAATAATAACGAATCAAAAATTTATAAATATCAAAGATATAAATTAATTAATAAATGAATTAATAATAAAAATAAAAACCAATATAATCATTTCTTTTTCGTGATAAATATATACACATACGTAAAAAAATAAATAAAATAAAAATAATTAAGAATTACATTAAAATAAAAATGTATATATCTTAAATAAAAAAATTGTATATCAAATTTTTAACGAAATAAATTAAAACCTTTATGAAATTAAATTCAAGTATTTAAGTAAATATTTCAAAGAGTTAAGCGCATTACCTAAATTTTAAAGTAAAAAATAATATCGATAAATGTTCCAAAAGCCTTTATCCTAGTCTATCATTGAAATACTGGCATAATGCCAAAGATGAGAATCGCAGCAGTCGAATGAAATTTAATTTTAGCATTTCAGCTGCCAATTAGAGACTTGAAACCAAAAACGTCGAGTTGATTGAAGAACATAGCTCGATTTATGGTTGAGTGATGTGCGAGCAGGTGCAACAGCTGCAGCTGGGCCGAGCAATTAGTGTAGTTAGGGTAAAACACAATTGCCATTACACACGCCACTCGCACACGCACACACACATACACACACACACACACACACAAAATGCGTGTAGTGGAGAGAATGCCCGACCTGGGCAATGTGTGAGCATGTACTTACGTGCATTCGTATTCATTCCACAAATCGACGCAATCAAAGGGATCCGGGCAGATAACATTGGAGCAGGGCCGATTCGATGGGCAGTTGCGCTCCACATTCCGTGCCATTGTCGCCTGGCCCCATTGGGTGCCATTCATGGCCGGTGGCAGCGGCAGATGTTTGCCATCCAGCCTATTTGAGAGTTCGTGCGCCACAAAAGAAATGAAAATGTGCATAATTAGCAAACAGTTGAGCTAGCTAGAGCTACGAGTGCGACCAGTGGTAGTTCTAGTCGTAGTCGTAGTCCTTCGTTGATTGCTACCTGATGTCGTCCAGGCAGCTCCTTTGGAAGTCCGATTGCACCTCAAACGTTTTCACGCCCGTATACTCAGCCTTGCCGCCCGCATAGACGCCCTCCTGCTTGTCAATGCTGAGCCACTGATGGCCCTGGTAGTGAAAGGATTCATTGTAGCGCCGCGACTCGCCGCCGTCCAGCTCCATGATGGCCGCCGAGCCATACCGACTGATTCGCACCACATGCCACTGGCCATCGTTGACGGCAATCGCTGTCAGCGCCAGCAGCTGCTCCTCGTTGCGCAACGAGTTGAGATTGTAGCGGAACTGCAGCTGTCCGCGGCGCAGCTCCAGTATCGCATACTCCCGCTGATGCTGATCGCTGACACGGAACAGCTCGCCGACCTGCTCCCGGGTGCGAAATCTCAACTGCAGCTGGGTGCTAAACCGATCCGGCTCGAAGCTCAGCGCGAACTTGACATAGCTCTGCGGCTTGAAGGTGGTCGGCACGGTGGGCACATTACAGCCCGGCCCCATCCAGCCGGGCTTGCAGTGGCATTTCGCCTGCACCAGGCTGGCCACACAGTTGCCGTGCTCCCAGCAGCGGGCCGTGTGCTCCGTCTTCAGGCAGACCTCGTCCGTTTGCGGGCAGGCGGGAAAACTGTTGCGTGCGAGCGCCGGAAAGGCGAGATCATAGTGCTCCGAATTGTGCACCACGTTGCGTATGCAGCCATCGAAGCCCTTCGAGCTGAAGGCATATTGCCAATTATACAGGGTCTGATCGAAGTGCTGCCTGTAGAGGCCGCCCAGCTGCAGTGGTTGGTTCAGATTCAGGGTCTCGGCAAATGGTGGTATCTGACCGCGTGCCTGGCACGCATTGTCATCGAACTCGGGTGCGGTGCCATCCTCCAGCTCTGAGACTAGGGCGGTGCGACAAAAGTCCACCACCATGCGCACGTTTTCCGCATCCCAAAAGATGTCCAAGCGATGCCAAATGCCATCGTCCAGCGTCTTTTTGCTCTTCACACGCAGCTCCAGGGTGCCGGAGCCAAAGTCGATGAGCAGACGCGGATAGCCCTGTTCCAGTTCAATGGCTATGAAGTCGCTGATTACGCTCTCGCCCGGCTTGGGCGGCACAATGGGCCCATTGTAGAGGATGAGGCCGTTCGGCTCGCGTGTTATAAACTCAAGGCTCAGATGCGACTCGCCGCACAGCTCCAGCGGCGGATACCAGGCCCAGCCGTTGCCCCGAAAGCTGCGCGTCGACTGCTGGCAGCGCGGACCGCCATAGCCCACGGGGCAGGCAACGCAGCGCGGCCCGTTGCGCGTCTCCACGCAGCGTCCGCCATTGAAGCAGTGATGCGAACGACAATTATGATCCTGGCCACTGAAATTTCTGGCACGGCACACGCACTGTGCACTCAACTCCAGCCGGACGCCGACCAGAGCCGTGCGATTCACGCTGACCGTGTAGGGGCGCTTGCCCAGCTCGGTGCGTGAGCTGCAGGAGCCAGTGGGACACTTGCCACGCCCCTCGTGCAAGCACTCGTCGATATGCACCATGGTGATGTTGAGGCCCACCTCCTGTTCGATCTCCTCGCGATGCATTTGCACCACACCATTGAGACGCACCGCCTTGAAGTACGGCTGCTGTGTGGCTGAGCGGGCGGCGAAGTGGACATCGGTTAGCGGATATGGCGACTGGGCGCGCAGCTGGACGCTGAATACGTCCACATTGTCGCGATCTGTGTAGAGCAGCTCGGCCAGCTTGTTGCGAAAACGTTCCAGCTTCGATGGTTCCACCTGCTGCTTCAGCGGATTCCAGGTGCGCACAAAGTCCTCGTCGGTTATGTGGGCCAAGCGCATGGAGCCCGCCTGCTGCACCGCCTCTGCGGTAATGTCGCGCACTGTGACGCTCAGATTCGCTGGGATATCCTCCTGACCGTGCTCACGATCGTAGACCTGAAAGCAGAAAGTGACACATTCAATTTATTATATAGTTATTGTACGCTCTACTCTGACGATAGTTAAGCGATAGATGGCAATAGCGATTTACTTATCTAGATGATAAATAGTTGATCGATGATTGATACAGGGACAATAGATAGATAGAAAAATAATGAATGGGCGATAAATATGCGATAGATAGACATAGATGGCCGATAGATGTGCGATAGATTGGTTGATTGGCGATAGGTAGATGATAGCTAGCAATCTATCTATATGATAGTAGACAATTGAATAGAATGATGAAAGGAGTTAGGTAATAGATTAAGCCTATTTAGAAAATATATAGACGATGATAATAAGGCAATTGATGAGTAATAATTTGCCGTTAGATTGACAGTGTAGGGACATTGGATAGATGATATATAGACGACAGATTGGCGATAGATGATCGATAGGTGATCGAAGTGCGATAGATAGGTGATCGATATTTGATAGGAGATTGAAGAAGGATAGATGGGTAATAGATGAGTCTATTAAGAAAATATATAGGCGGTACATAGGCAATCAGTGTGCGATATATGAGTGATGGAATGGTGAGATAGATAGATAAATAGATAGATAGATAGATAGATAGATAGATAGATAGATAGTATTTTATATATTTATATAGATAGATAGAAGGAAGAGGTAGGCAATAAAATTGGTATTTGAGATTAAAAGACACGAGAAAGGCCCAATAAAGAAGACATACGTAAATAATAGGCAACCAACAAAGAGAGCAGCGAAAGTAGCTTAATAAGCTCTCCATCAGTAAAATAATTAAACTGGTTACATGTCATAAAAGTGGAATACAGAGAACCAAAAGTAGATGCTTAAATTAAAGTTGAACGATACAAAGGCGTCTAAAGCGTATTATTCAAGACTTAGGCAGTTCAAAAACTCCCCAAGGCGACCTACCTTAAAGCGCAGTTGGTAGCGGCCACGTCGTGTCCCAGCCCGCATCGTCAGGATGCCGGTGTCTGTGTCGAGTTTGAAGCGCTGATGCTCCTGCGCCTCCCAATAGTATTTCTTGTCGGGCACATCCCAGTCGTCGGGATCGTTGACATACACCCGGCCGATTGGTGTGTCCTGCGACTGGCCCTGGTAGTTATAAACCAGCACCGATTTGCTGCCCGGCTGCATTTTGTTGTCGTTGACATCGCCAATGGTCACAGTCAGTGTGCTGGTGCCCGTCATTGCCGGCGCTCCGTTGTCCTTTATCTCGATGGGTATGTCATAGGACTTTTGCACCTCACGGTCGAAGGGACGCAGCGATGATATTATGGCCACACCGTTGCCATTGTCACCCCCTTTGAGTGTGTGGGTAGATGGAAGGGTTTTTTTTTTGTTAGGTTTCAAATGTTGTTCGATTGGTGGCCCAAGTGTTCCGATGAATTTCATTTGATGTTGTTGTTGTTGTCGCAGGCAAAGGCATAGGCAGTAGGCAAATGTAAAGAGAGAAGAAGAGAAAATGCGAAAATGTTGAGTAAGCAATGCGAAATTCAAGAATGGCTCCGAGCATTATTAAAGTTAGCAATTGGCATTTAAATGAAAGGAATTTTTCATTTCAATAAGCTAAAAATGAAGAATGCTGCGTTTGCTTTGTTGAATGCGAAAGCTATTGCCAAGTGGTGCATGATGATATTAATTTAGTTACTTATATTTAAAATAAACAAGTGTATTAAATTTATAGTAAAATAATATCATTTCATTTGCATCTGCATTTCAAAAAGTTCTTGATTATAAGCTATTGAAAAACTGACAATGTTTTTTTTTGTTTTTAGCTCCCATAGATGCTGAAATAGGTATAAATATGTTGGCACCGCATCCTGCTAAGTAATATATATAAATACTTTTTGGCATCAGCCAACACCTGCATTCACCTCTCACACACATTCAAGGAAACCATAATACCCTGAATAACCATATCCAATTGCTGCAGGGCGTGCAAATAATAATGATAATCAAATCAAAAATAGAATTGTAAATTTATGGATTTACACATTTATTGCAATATTGATGATATTTTACTTTTGATTATCCAATTTATATGCGGCTATAAATATGTGTGTGAGCCGAATCGCTGTGCGCTGGTCCCACAACAAACAGTTCAATACAATTTAAGCCATATATTGCTGATTTTATGTGTTCAATTAATATTCTAGAAAATTTGGATTGCGCATAATTAATTGGGAGCAAATCGAACTGAAATCGAACATATGCAGGCTGGCAGATGGCATGGCATGTGTAATGCAAACGCATTTGTGAATTATTATACAAAATGCATTAGCTTGATTAACAATTTACGCCCGTAATGATAGCTAACTGCTACCTGTTTTTTTTTTCTGTTTCGCTCTGTTCTTCTCATTCTTTCTGCTCACTAATTACACAACTCATTTAGATAATTAGCCATGCAAATAAATAGAATTTTGTGCCCAGTCGCAATGATTCGGTTTAAAGCCCTACTATTTTTTTTTTTTTTTTCTACGCCTATTTGTTGATGGTAATGAATTTAATCGGCTTTGCGAATCAATTATTTATTCAGTCCCGAAACGCTGTGAAATCCAAGCACGTATCGGCCCATAAAAAGCGGAACGGACCAAAAGCAACTAAATAGAATCGGGCCTCAAAGTGAAACGTGTTAAAGTGCGACCGGGTCCGGCCCAGGTCCGGGTCCAGGACTGTTGAAAATTGATTACAAGGGGCTGGTCCAGAAACGGACGCGTGTGTTCGAGTGACACCTCAAATTTCTTTATTTCTTTCATTCTAACTGGATTTTATATTTGTTTTCATTCTTTTTTTTTTTTTTTTTTTGGTTTTGGTTTTGCTTCATTTAGGCTTGTTTTATTTCGTTCGCAGCCTTTTTAATGACTCCGTTTACGTACAATGGTAACGAAAGTGAAGACCAATTTTAAATGCGCCCAAGAGAAAACAAATAGGTCAAAATCAAAGCCAACGTTTGAAACGTTTGAGCCGTTGCTGTGCTGTCCAAACTGGCCCGGAGGTTACAGCATCGCCCAATTTCCATACGCTGTCAACTGTGGGATGCGAGGGGTATATTGAAAGTGCAGTTGTTCTAGTAATAGATCACATCTCTTTTGGAGTTCTGATACCTGAGATTGTTAAGCTCAAGTTACAATATTAAATTTGAAATATTGAAGAGCGCGAATTCTATAATTTATACTTGTTTGTTATTTTAAACATGTTTTAAAGATCAAAGATTTCTATTTGAAAAGCAACCGCAAAGGTAATGATGAATATAGGATCGTATGATTAACATATTTCTTGATAATAAAATTCATTGATTTGTTCAAAAATGATTTCGATTTTTTAAATATTTATATCAAGAAAATGATTTATTCATAAAGCTTATAAAAAATATAGAGGAATTTATGATTACATACTTTTAATATTTCTTGTAGGTTATTTATTTTATTTTATTTATTTATTAATTTTATTTATTATATATTTTGTATAATCATTTCTTAAATGTAAATTTTTATTTGAAGGGATTTTTGTACAAAAAGAATATTTGCATTTAGGAATTGATAAATTATTTTTTTTTTTTTTTATCATTCATAGAAAAAATTTTTTTTAAATTGTAAGATTTACTTTCAAAGATAACTTTCTTTTATTTTTTACAATTTGCAGTTCCGCTTTAATATAGAATTTCATTTGAGTTTCATGCCTTTCAATTTATATTTTAATATTTTACACGAGTATTCCTCCTGTCTGAGTACTTTTCACGATTGTTTACAGGGTAGCGCATTCTCTAACGTGTTTTCTTTTCTCTTTTATTTTTGTGGGCTTTTGGCTTTTTGGGTAACTAACTCAGTGCACAAACAATGCTGATGATGCTGATTGTCTGTGGCATAATTCAATCACCATTACTATGCAAACACACTTTGGTTTTAGCGTTTGATTTTGATTGTGAATGTGAACTAAACTCAACTCGAACGCAACTGGGCGAGTTCCAAGTGCTGCTTCCAGGCTGTTCGTGTTGTCAGTTTGCAATTTCCTTTTACTTTTATTTTTCTCTTTCTATCCTTTTTTTTTGGGAATAGCTTTTGCTGTTGCAGTTGTATAGATTAGTTGCAAGCCAGAGTCGAGCTGGTGGCTTGTAGCGCAAAAGCCTGTGCAAAGAATTGGCATTGATTATAAAGGCAAATTGACTTGTGGCCAAACAAGAATCTGAGTGGGATGCTGCGCATTGAAAGTTTCGGCTGCGATGCGAAAATGTTGCAGGAGAAGTTGAAGTTGAATATTGCAAAATATAGTAACTTAAAAGAAAGTTCAATTTAACTAGTGGTCGATATATAGTAACTCAGTAAAAGTTGAGTTTAACTAGTAATCAATGATGGAGCTTATTTGTTTATAGAATATGGACAGAATACGAAGTTGTTCGTTTGATAAATTTACATGTTTGGTTTGGTTTTAAATAAGATTTCCCATTGAAAATGGGTTCATGGTATACAAAAATAAGGATTCGGATGCATAAATATTCATATGGATAGATTATATATGCATATATATGATGGATCATATGATATTTGCTTTATTAATTATTATTATAGCTCTCTTGTCACTTACTGCGATCGTATTCCACCTTAAAGCCCGCTCGTATCTCATCGCTGGCCAGTGGATCCAGGCGAAAGCTGAAGGGTCCGCCATTGCCGCGCTGTCGATCGTCCGCATCCTTGGCGGCCACCTCGATGATCTTGCGTGGCGAGACATTCTCCGGCAACGTCGGCTTGTAGTCCTGGGCCAGCGTGGGCGCATTGTCGTTCACGTCCTTGACAATCACAGTCAGCGTAGCCGTTGCCGTGCGCGGCGGATTGCCATCGTCGCTGGCCAAGATCTGCACATGATGACGATCCGCCGCCTCTCGATCGAGCGGTCGCTGTATGCTGATGGCGCCCTTGTCGCTGATGGCGAATTGCCTGCGTCGATTGCTGGCGCGCACTATTTTGTAGCTGACGCGCGAATGGCCGCCCTGGTCCGCATCGCTGGCGCGAAACTGCTCCAGTACGGTGCCCACCTTGGTGTCCTCGTAGATGGAGACCTCGATGTGATCGCGGTCGAAGCGTGGCACATTGTCATTGATGTCGCGCAGCTTGACCACGACCCACGAGTAGGCCACATGATACTTGTCCGCACCGTCCTCGCCCTTGTCGTTCACCTGTATGCGAAAGCGGAAGCCGCTGCTCTGCAACGGATCCTCGTAGTCCAGCGGCTGGATGATTTTCAGCGAGCCAGTGCCATCCGCATTGCGCACCATCGCAAATTTGTCCGCACCGAAGCCGCTGTTCGGCACCACCTTGTACTGAAAGCTGTTCGTCTCGTCCTCATCCTGCACGGTGACCGTCAAAATGGGCGTCTCGGGTATGTAGGTGCCGTTCGTCTCGTCCACCTCAGTGAACCATTCGTCTTTGGTAAACTGCGGCGGCATATCGTTCAGGTCCTTAACACGTATGGAGGCGGTGCCAGTGCCTATGTAAGAGGAGTAGATGAACAGAAATCAAATGGGGCTTACATGACTGTGTAATTCTCTGTATTGATAGATTGTAATATTTAAATATTATATTATTTATATTCAAATAATATATTATATTATTATTCAAAAAATATATAATAATATTATATGAAAAAATGGAATTAAGGAATTATTATATATTCGACTTCTGATTACTATTTCTTGATAAATTATTTATTTTAGTCTTCTTTCATAACGTTAGGTTATTAAATAATTTTTCCACCTAATGTTTACATTTTATGTGAATCAATTTTTTTTTCTATAAATTAAATTAATCTTCGTTAAATAAGTATATAAACTTAAATAAATAGAAATATTTTATTTTATTTTATTTTTTTTAAAGTATAATGTCGAAACTATTATTAATGGATCATAAGTTTCTTCAATTTATAAAGAGAAAAAAAAAAAAAAAACTAATTAAATGAATAGGGTGGAATTCATATATAAAAAAAATTAATTATATATTGATTCAATAAATAAATGAATATTAATAAAAAATAATTAAAAAGATATAAAAAAAAAAAAAATATTATATTTATTAATATATTAACAATGCATGAAATAATATTTCGAAAATAACTCTCAAGTGTAAGTCTCTTAATTTAACATTCATAATAATTTATTAATATTAATTACAATGAAATTAATATTAATTTATTGACATATTAAAAATAAATGCATTTTTTTATAAATTAAATTAATTTATTTCTTCATCAGATTGAGTTCATTGAAGAAAAGGTATTTATATATGTATAATAATATTTTTTAACAAATATTTATTTTTCTGATTTTGATAATTGTTCTACTCAAAGGCAAGACTCTCTCAACAACAAACCCAATATACCCCATAAGGCATCACAACAGTGTGTGTGTGTGCATAATGAGTGTTCTATGTCAGTGGCATGCTCAGTATTTTGAAGCAACGGTACTCACCCTTCAGACCGCCACCGTCCATGGCCACCACCTGGATGGAGTAGTCCGGTGTGCGTTCCCGGTCGAGACAGCAGACGGCCGTTTTGATGAGGCCCGTTTCGGGTTCAATTTCGAAGATGGGTGCGCCCGTTTCCTCTTCGATGACGTTCTTCTCGATTGAGTAGATTAGCTTGGCATTGGTGCTCTCGTTGGGATCGTCATAGTCAATGGCAGACATTGTCATCACGGGGCTGCCGGCTGTGCCATTCTCGGTGACATTGCCAAAGTAGACGCCCTGCGGAAACTGCGGCGCATTGTCATTGATGTCCTTTAGATTAACTTGAATGTCCGCATAGCCGACCAGGCCCTCGCCGCCCTCGTCCTGGGCAAATACGGTGAAACGCCATTGCGGCCGCCCATTGGGCTGATCCCGGTCCAGGGGCTGTAACAAGTAGAGAGAGAGAGAGAGAGAGAGAGAGAGAGAGAGAGTGTGTGAGAGTGAGAGTGTGAGCGAGGCAGATGAAGCAAATAAAGTGAGCTCGCTTTCCATTTGATTTGCCAGCTGTTTGGCTTGCTTGTTTGCAAATTATTTTATGCCAACGGCAGGAAGCTGCAACTGAGACAGCATACAGCCAGCAGCAGGAGCAGGAGTAGGAGCAGGAGCAGGACTTATGGTTGACAAGTCTCATTGTCAGCTACAGGTCCTCGAAACTACTGCTGACTCAGGCGATGATGTCCGTCTGTCCGTCTGTCGGTCTGTGTGTTCGTCTGTCTGTGTTTGTCTGCATATTGTGTGTACTTCTTTGTGGTTGTCCTCAGCCCCAGCTCAATATATATTTGCCCAGGCTCATATTAGATTTCTCTCATTAAATGAGTTATCCCCTGAAATCGCCTGACCCCACCTGTCGTCTGGCCTGGCGAGCGGGCTAAACAAATGCCATCAAATCAAATGAAATGTGTTCAATCTGAATGGGAATTGTGTCAGCTCGGCCTCTCGCCCCGAATCCCATTTAAATTATCCTTAAATATTGCTTACTCGGCTCATTTGGAATTTGTTTTTCGCCCAGGTGGATTAGGCTTCGTTTCAATTACAATTTTGCTTTAGATTGCGCATTGTGGATTGGAATGCAAATTAAAATCGACTTTGCATTTAGCCGGCTGGATGGGCATTATAATTCATTATTCTGTCTGTGTGTGTCTGTCTGTGTGCACTGATAACCTAAGTCACATAATCTGTTGCTGTTTAAGCACATGATTGTATAAAGTGTTAGATTTATGTGACATTTAGATGCTGGCTAGATCTGGGATTGGGTGAGAAATGGTATCTGCACTTGTTAGCTTAATCTAGATTGATTATTAAATAAAAGTATACAAATAATTGTATAGCTAAGCTTTGCTATGCATTCAACCATATTAATAGCAACTATAGGGATGAGTTTTTTTTTTTTTTTTTTTTTTTTTTTTTTTTTGATATAAACAGACATTTAAACTATCGAAAATGATCGAGAATGAATTTTTTCAGGGTATAGAGTTTTTTCTCAATTTATCGCGATATTCAATTTAGCGGTGTACAAATTATCGAGACTGGACTGTATTTTGTACATCCCCCAACACTCACAGACTTTCATAGGCGTCTTTCAAGCGTCACTCAATTATTTATTAGTCGTATATCGTACTTCTCTCACTTTAAGTCAATGTCTGCCTCATTTTGCGAAGAGCGAGGCACTCTTTCTACGTAGAAAGGAATGGAACTAATGGAAGATGGAACTTTCGTATTGATACTCATACTCTTTCATTCTCGCACTCTCTCACTTTTGCGCTATCTATCTAACTAGCCGATATCTACCTATCCTCTCTCTCTAGATAACATTTTTATAGTATTCTTTTATTTATTTTTATTTATTTTTTTTTGTTTTTCAATTTTTATGTATATGAATATTGTATATGGAAATCTCTTATTTAGGCATTATAAATTGGAGGCCTTTTTCCATACAACAAAACAGACTCCCTAAGTAGTTTTATATGAGCAAACTATATTTGGAAAATGAAAATGAAAATCAATTATTGCTGCTCCACGCAACTAAGCTTCGCTAACAAGTCACATGTGCATAGTAAATATACACCAATTAGTTCACGATTTAAATTCATTTCTCTATTTCTCTCTCTCAGCGTTTCAAGCACTACTGTGGTCTAGAGTAAAAAAAAAAAAAAAAAACGTGCTGTTAGCCAATTGTTCAAATAAATAGTCATATTTGAGTTTCAATAGCACTTTGCCATCATCAAATCAAAATCGTGAATGGGTTGGAACTTAAATTCTATGCAAATGGCATTCGCTCAATTAAAGCCGGCAAAGTGACGCACACACACACACACTAGCAGGGCATATATCGGTGGCATGTGACACGCATTGCAATAGCAATTACAAATTAAATACCGCGCTGCAGCTGTCGAATGGTCGACGCTAAACTTCAGTGGGACCCAAGCTATTCCCCCAGAAGAGCCACCCAAAAGCCACCCAGCATTTTAAACAGAATTTTATGCGCGGCAACCACGCACCAATAACGAACGACGAATGTCATTTACATGTGGTTGCTTGTAGAGCGTCAAAACCACAAATGCCACATGCTGTCGCTGGCAACCAATGCCAACGCGAAAACCCTTTTGCCCACCACACCACATCAACCCACCACAGCACCACACCAACAACAACAAGCCACACAGCCTGAGCTCCTAAAACAATAAAACAAATAAAGCATGCCGCTAGCAGCAACAGCAACAGCAACATTTGAACATTTGATTCAGTAAATGGGCGCAGTGGGCGTGGCATTGGTCGTTGGCACTGCCATTTGACTGGTTTGTTTTTATGGACTTTGTCTGAAATTAATTGGAGTTCATGTAGTTGGCATCAAATGCTTGCAGTTTTTATGCTCACAAATGTCATTCTCCTTTTCTTTTTTTTTTTGTTGCTGCTGTTGTTTTTGGCCATCTGCATGCATGTGTGTGCGTATGTGTGAGAGAGAGATTGTGCGGTTTGACACAGTTTTAAATTAATCATACGCCACCGATCCGCTCTGCCGCGAAAGCTTTACAATTCACTGGCGACTGTTGTTAACAAATAAAATCGCACAACAATTTTAAGTATTTTCGAGCAAGGCAAATTTATATTTATTTTATATACGTGTGTGCGTGTGCGTGTGCGTGTGCATGAATAAATTTAATAGCTGCATCAGCTGTCAAATTTGCTAGTGTGTTTCTACAGTCAATATTACGGGCTGAATCATTTATTTAGAACCACATGCAAAGTGTTTACAGCGACTTGTTCGCACTGCAGTTAAATTTTATAATTTACAATGTGCGAGAGTGCCTGATTACTGCCCACCGATATAAAAATGGCACTGAAAACTTTGACAGCTTTGCGTGTTAAAAATGTCGTGAAAGAATTGAAGCAGTTTTTATTTGAAGACGCATTCGCTTATCAATGAAACTTTAAGATGACTCATTTGGCGGAAAAACAACTAAATGTTTTGTATAAAAAGAAAATGTATGTTGATGAATGCAACAAACAGTCATAAATGACGAGTCGGCAAGACAATGAAAATGGGGCAAGAAAATTATTTTTAGCTTTGCCATAGAGTTAGTTTAATTTATTGTTAACAACAACATTAAATAGATTTAAAAAAAAAAAAAAATTTGTTTATATATTTAAATATATATCTGACGAGCATGGCTAGATCAGCTGATATTGATTGTATATTCATTCCTTATAGCATTATAGCAATTAATTTTCTCAACAGACAAAAGCAATAATTACAGGCTTGAATAAGAAATCTAAATCAAAATCAATTTTTCTCTGTAAATGTATTTGTGTTTATATGGAAGACTTTTTTTTATTATTAAATTTAAATATTCCCATATCCCCTTTGTGATCGTAGTATCACAAATAAGTTTGTTATGATATTGTTAAAGATAATTAAAAAAAAAATAACTGTAAAGTTTTTAATGAAGATTCGGAAGATTTTCGTATACATTCAATTTTTGACTGTGGCTTGCTAATTTAATTTAATTAATTTTTGATTGCTCTTTTATAACAGCTTTTCAAAGAGCCTGAATATCATCTATCTATATTTACATATATATTTAAAGATATATTTACGAAGCGTGAGTCAAGCTAGGTAAGCCCGATGAGGTATTTTATTTGTCAGTCCGGCCAGCTATATTCAATGATAGTTTAGTTAGTCAAACTTTTTGCTCAGCTATCTAAAATCCTTTGACATTGACAATTATCTATAGCTAAATTAGTGTAATAATATACACTTTTAAAATCTTTTTTTATAAATTTTTTTTAAATTTATTTTTTATACTCTCTATATTTGCACTACATTTTCGAGCTCTAACCTCTCATATTGGCAAATCATGGCATTGCATGTGAACATATGAATATGTACGTCTATCTAGCCAACTTTTTTTGTAGGGCTGCCAATAGACCATTATATAAATTTTTAAAATTTCAATTCTGATGCTGCTTTGTGTTTTTGTTTTTCATTTTTATTTTTGTTCAGTGTATTCCGTCATGCTTAACTTCTGCCTTTCAGTGTTTTTTGTTGTTGTATATTTTTAACTGTTAGCTCGTCACACACAATATAAACTGCGCATTGTGTATATAAACTGTTGGCCCAATTGTAAACTGCCAACAGCTGTCCGCACGCGCACCCTCAAACCTCCCTCCCACCCCCTGCCATCTGCCCAGACGCCCCTCAATCATAGTCGCTGCAGGTGGAAAAAAAAAAAAAAAAAGTTATGGCGCGCCATTTGCACGCTTAGCCCAGCGGGTGTGAAGGATGAAGACTGAGAGGGAGAGGGATGGGGTGAGAGCAGGAGACACAGAGAGAGGGAGGCATGGTAACTGGGGTTCTGGTTTTTGAGGTAGACTTCATTGTTGGTTGGGGAATTTAACGGGCATTCATTACGGCTGGGCTTTACGGCGTATCGTTGGCAACTGGCTGGTAAAAAAAATTCGCTTAAGCTTGGTGAGTGCCACTTACCTTGAGTACAAAAATATCGCCAGTTGTGCGATTTATATCAAATTTACTATTCGCTGTATTATCCGGGTCGATGCCCTGGCCGGTTAGGAAATATACAATATTTATTGGTCTATCTACATCGCCATCGGTAGCCGTAACCTGTGAAAGAGAGAGTGAGACGGAAGAGAGCAGAGTGAGTGAGGTATAAAAACTGCATTACAATGAGTTGTTGTTGTTGCTGCTGCTGCTGCTGGGGGAGTTGAGTCTGGGTCTTGGTTGACTGTTAAGCCGTTGCCGGACCTTACTTACAATATTCAGTCTATAAATCAAATATGCAAATGCGCAAAAAACCTTTAAATGCCCAATAAAGAGCAAAAGCAAAAGCAAACCCACGCGAACGTCTTTGAAAATAAGAGAAATGCTAGGCGAACAGGGCTTTTTGCATGCCAGATTGCTTGTAAATTTATGCTTCGATTTTGTATTACATTTTATTTTATATTGTATTCTTCTTCTTTCTTTCTCTCTCTCTTTTTAGTATTTTTTATATTGCAGTGCAATGCTGTCTCTGAAAAATGCTAATGTGACCGAGATTTATGTAATTATTCAATCGGCTTGCGGTATTTTTGCTTATTTTCTATTGCGAAATGTTTTCCTTTTTTTTTTTTTTTTTTTTTTTTCCTACTAAATGAAATCTGTATTTAGGCCCATTTTGTTGTTGCGCGTCTGGAATATTTTATGGCGCATTATTATTCTTATTAATGTAGAAACTACATGCTAGCAAATTGTTTGGTACTTTTTACTCAGTTATTACTTAGATAAGCATCTACGGGCTGTTAGCCCAAATGACTTACAAGAGGTTCAATGAATGGATGCGAATGCTTAAGCAGGAGATTAAAGACGCTTTGATGGCAGCTTAAAGTGGCAGTAAAGTGCTTCAACTTAAGGCTGAGTCGTAAACAGAAAGGCAAATGTGAGGGAAAAACGAAGAGACTTGGATTAATATGACAGATAGATTATTTGGCAGTCAAATCTGTAGTCTGTAGTCTGTAGTCTGTAGTCTGTAGTCTGTAGTCTGTAGTCTGTAGTCTGTAGTCTGTAGTCTGTAGTCTGTAGTCTGTAGTCTGTAGTCTGTAGTCTGTAGTCTGTAGTCTGTAGTCTGTAGTCTGTAGTCTGTAGTCTGTAGTCTGTAGTCTGTAGTCTGTAGTCTGTAGTCTGTAGTCTGTAGTCTGTAGTCTGTAGTCTGTAGTCTGTAGTCTGTAGTCTGTAGTCTGTAGTCTGTAGTCTGTAGTCTGTAGTCTGTAGTCTGTAGTCTGTAGTCTGTAGTCTGTAGTCTGTAGTCTGTAGTCTGTAGTCTGTAGTCTGTAGTCTGTAGTCTGTAGTCTGCAGTCTGTAGTCTGTAGTCTGTAGTCTGTAGTCTGTAGTCTGTAGTCTGTAGTCTGTAGTCTGTAGTCTGTAGTCTGTAGTCTGTAGTCTGTAGTCTGTAGTCTGTAGTCTGTCAACAATTTGAAGGAGCTGCAATTATCCTCACTAAAACAAAGTCAAAATAACAAAGTGACTCTAGCTAAAAATGCATTCAATTAAGTCTGGCATATTTATTATTTTTAACTGCTGCATCCATTTGAATTCCAGCATCGACCGCAATTCTGTTGAAGCAGAAGCCAGCTATCAAACACTTGGCAAGCCAATTAGAGCAATTATTGGGCAGCTGTTAACAATGTGACAACTTTTGTGGCTATCGCACCTAACCAATGTAAAAGGAAACCCATTGAGGTCAAACAATGGCTCAATATTTAAATATCTCCATTTATGTTAAAGGGTGAGTGGGAGAGAGAGAGAGATAGAGAGAGCGGGGACACTCAAAGGCAGCTGCCACGTGTTAAGTGCCAACAAAACGCTGCCAGCCACGCCCACTGCTTGCCTGGCAACCCGCCCACAATTTGCTGGTTGACAATGCGACAATTTACGTTAAATGTTCCGCACAATTTGATATGACAAAAGAGTTGTCTACGTGCCATTATTATTGGCCGCGTGACGCGATGTGAGCTCTGCATGCCATTGTCCTCTCACCAGAGCACACACACACACACACACACACACACACTCGCACACACACACTCACACACACTACGACACACACACAAAGAAAGAGCGCGTGTGCTGTATGCCCACCATTGGCATGCATAATTTAAAGTCTCTTGCCGCCCCCTGGCTGGCTGCTGGGGCAGGGGCGTGGCAGCACCAAATGACTCGCGTGCAAAGGCAAAAAGAAATATTTGCATTTTATTTTGTGCCACCCACAAAAATCAATTTGGCCAAAAGGTGTCGCAGACGGCAGTCGATGCCCTGTATATATACATATATGCATATTATGTAATATAGTATATATGTACATGTGTATATATATATATATACATTCGATTCTGTCTGGTATGCGGTTCGGTCGGCCCATCGACTTTGGCGCCACTTCAATTTTTTACTTAAGCATAAATACGTAATTAAAAATGCGTGTGGCCATTGTCGCTGTTGCTGTTGTTGTTGTTATAGCTGTTGGTATTGTCACCATTGCAGTCATCGCCGGGCCGTGTCATTTAAATTTATATTTTACAAGCGAGAACATTTATCGAAGCAGCGGGAGTCACCACACTTGGATGCCCTTTTGAAGCACATTTGGGTCAACACGAAGCTCTCTGCTAAAAATTTCATTTTTTTTATGGGAAACGCCAATTTGGCTTAAACGATTCTAAAACTTTTTTGTGATGTATCGAAATATTGCTTTTTAAACTTATCGTATTAAAAAATAAGTTTTTTTCAAAGTGCATTTCAATTATTATGATCATGGTTTCAAAATAAAAAGTATATAACATAAAATATATGGGCCTTTCTGAACGCTACAAACGTAGACCGTTCTGGAGAAATATCCATATACAAAAAGTAGTGGCAGTAGTAGTTAAAGTTGCAATTATTATATAAAAGTAGTAGTAGTAGTTAAAATTATCGATATATAAACAGTAGTAGTTCTTGCAGTAGTAGTAGTAGTATCAATTGTAGAAGTATAAGCAGTGGCAGTAGTTGTAGTAGTAGTAGTAGTAGAAGTAGTAGTAGTAGAGTTTTAATTGTAGAAGCAGTAGCACTGGTAGTAGTAGTAGTAACAGAAGTGGTAGTAGTACAGTTTCAATTGTAGAATAATAAGCAGTAGTAGTAGTAAAGTACTAGAAATAGGAAAAGAATTCTGTATGAGCATGCCAATAATTAAAAATAATAGTTGGATGATTATTAATTGTAGTAGGCGATAGAAGTAGCAGCATTGCTAATAGTAGTAGGATAGTATTAATTCCCAAAGTATTCATTGTTGAAATAGTACTTAAAGAAGTCGTAGTAAAAATAGTAGTAGTTCACGATTGATGTGAGAGTAGCAGAATCAATTGCATAAAATTCAGTTGGCTTTTACTTTTAGAATGTATAGCAGAAATGTTATTGCAAATAGAGGAAACAATTATTAAATCAAGATTGATTGATTGTTAGATATTCTTCATTCATCCATTGGGTGCGTAAAATACCAACGAACCCTTTCGGAGAGTACGAAAGCAAATTGATGCTTGATAATAAGTTAAAGGTGAAGCTTGCTGAGTCATGAGAAAAATGTGCATGAGTATGCAAGGAAATGGAGTGGGAGATTATATATTCATTTATGTTTAATATATTTTCCATTAATGACTGTTATTTAATGCATGTTATATTTTATGTTATTAATTATGTTTTATGATATATTAATTTTATCATATAATATTTTATTTTCAATCGTAAGTTAAAGTTTCAAGCATTTATTGTCGCGGTAGAAAAGTAGAGCATTTAACCCTCAGTGAAGCGCAAGGATTTTAATTTCTCACATTCTTTTTTTTTCATTCATGTTGCTGATTGTTGTAAATTATGGCTTAAATAAAAGTCGCTGCCACAGACTCAGCCACTTCTCACATACGCACGCATAAACATATATGTAAAATGGATCAAAATGTGCGCGTGTGCGTGTGTATGTATATTTGATGCAAGGCCATTGGGCAACTATCACGTTATTATTAATGAATGAGTATTTATTTTGTATTTACGGCCGAATTGTGCGGCTTGCTGAATCGCCCTGGCACTTAATATGCCAGCAATGCGCAGTGCCCAGTGCCCAGGACGCAGCTCAGCTTCTGTTCTGTTCTGCTCTGTTCTGGACGGCTTCTTGTTTTCGCTGCTATAGTTTTTCGAGTATTCGATTTTTATGCAAATTGCATGTATTGTATGCTGGGCCGTTGTTGTTTCTGTTGTCAATATTTAAATTGAGTAAGAGCAAGCAGCAAGCGATTGTAAATGTGGAATGGGAAAATAATGATAGGCGCCTTAACGCCCATAAGTAGCTGTTGCAGCAATTGCGAAAAATATTGTTTTAAGCCCGAAGGAGGACAACAGGATTTATGGCTGAGAGATGCAACAGAGCAGATTTACATGGAGGTTACCTTTATGATTTAAATGCAACGAGCGGAAAGAACTAAGTGAAATATGATGCGAGCCTTAAAAAATAGGGCAGCGCACAAAAGTATGCAATAGTTTTTTGTACAAACTTGAACTGCTTGCGATGCTTGCACTGCTGACACTGCTTGATTTATATGCTTTGAGTAAAGCGGACCCTAGTGTTCTGCATAGGAAGGATGTTAATGTGGCAAATAAGTATATAATAAATATATAAAAAAAAATTATATTACTCGATTTCCTTCACACTCACCTGTAAAATGCGTTTGGGCAAATTGCGATCATCTTCCTCAGTGATTTGCGTCCGATATGTTTGACGATCGAATACAGGTGGATTATCGTTAACATCGCGTACATTGATGACAACGGTGGTATAGTTGTTTTTACGATTGCGTGTTGCCTCCAGGCGCAGCTCATACTACAATTAAATAAAAATCGAATTTTTGTAAGACTTTAATAAAATATTGCACATAAAAAAAAATTCTTATGCGAACTCGATATTTGCAAAGTTTTTACGCATGACAAATGCCCCAAAAAAAAAAAAAAAAAAAAAATGAACCGAAAATGATTGTCAGACTTTGGCGCAAACAAAAACAACAACAAAGGAGCCAGCCAACCCAAAAAAAGAAAAAAAAGAGCATAAACAAGAGCGTGGGCAACACATGTTTTGCGGCATTGTTGGCGCCTCAGCCGCTTGTTGCATGACAACGCATTGACAGCTACACGGATTCCCGATGAGGTGGCGGCTGCTGTGTTCGCTGAGGGAGCGTCTGGGGGTAGCTGCTACATATAAATATTTGTGTGCGTGCAATCACGTTAAAAATTTGCTCTGGGAAATGTGCCAACAGCTGGAGATGTACAACTCCAGGCGAGACGAGGCGAGAGGAGGCGAGTTGAGCTGCGTTTGTGTTGTTTTTGCATTAATTTTGACATGGACACACACACAGCCATGCGTTAGAGCACAGCCTGAATGTCGCAAAAGTTGTTCGCCTGAAACTTTTGCATAGTTTTGCATATTCTTTTCTTTTTCTATTTTTCTTTTTGTCTCACAGCAAAAAAATAAATAAATTATGCATGCACAAGTTGAGCAAGCAAAAAAAAATAAATAAATAAAAATAAAAATATATATATAAAAGTAAAAAAAAAAAGTAGAAACAGCAACAGCTCAAAGTTGAGCCTAGACTCGTGAATAGACGCTGTCAGCGAGCCGAGAGTCGAGTGTGTGTTGTGACGAGGGTCGTGTGAGTCGAGATTCCTTCTAGACACTAACTACTTACCCTTGGCCGCGTTTCATAGTCTAGCGGACTGGCCACGTAGATGACGCCCGTCGTATTCTGCACGCCAAAGGCATTGCCTATGTTACCGCCTGTGATCTGGTATCGAATATTCGTCGCTGCAAAGAGATAGACGGAGAGAGGGGGAGATAAATATAATTTCATTTTTTATTTCATTTTTTAAAAGTATTTTTGTTGTAAGTTTGCCTTTATAGACTGTCATTAACATTTCATAGATTATTTTTGAGTCATTAAAAACTTAAAAAGGTTTCGGCATGTCACACGTGGCGTATGCGTAATACAAAAAGACAGGCATTGCATTGCTGCTGGCATGTGCATAATTAAAACAACATGGGGGCGACTCACTTCTTTTATGCTCACACAGAATTTAATTTATTTTGTGGGCGTGTGTGTGCGTGCGAGAGAGGGAGATAGAGAGAGTGTGTGTGTGCGTACCTGCTGGCGAGCTGTGAATGTGGCTGTGGCTGTGGTGTATCGCTCAATTTCATGAAGATGTCAAAGAGGTTCAGTGAATTGAAATACACGCACACAGATACATACACAAGCATACACTTACACTATATTCATCACATCATGCCAGATACGCCGTTTAGGCTTTTGCATTTTTAAAGCAAACATCTTCGATAATTGAAAATTGAATCTCAAGTTGACGGGGAATATCTTGGCTTTCTAAATATGAAAAATGCTTGAATTTGAATTTTTCATTTGCTGCGGTCAGTGTAAATCAAATTTCACAATATTAACTCAAAGAATTTTAAAGAAATTTCATTGCTCTACTTGCTCAAATGCTCGTGTCAAGGGATCAAAGTGAGCAGCGAGTAAATCAATTAGATTCATAAAAAGGCATTTTCAAGCCAAGAGTAAGCGCTCAACCTGGCGCATAATTCACTTATTAAATAATTAAACAGCGGGAGCTGCGCATAAGAGAAACAAGAAAAGTTCACACATGTGCGCCAAGACAAGCGACGGGCTGAGGCAGTAGCTGTTGCCAGCTCATTTATACAAATATATGTATATAGATACGTATATGTATGTATATAAAATGACAAAACATTAGCGGAAATTAGCGACGCGTAAATCGTTTAGCCCAAAAGGCTGAAGAAGCTGCCGACTGACTTTTGGCTCCCTTGCCGGAGCATGGGCGGCGGCGTGCGTGAACTTTACAGCTTTCTGCTCAATTAAAGCCAGCGAGCGAGCATGTAAGCAAGAGCGTATTAACATAAGCACTTGAAATGAAGACAAGCAAATGTCTCGACATGCTTAAGCAGCTGATAAGGCAGCTTACAGAGTGGGGGGAGTGGGAGCTGGAGTTGGAGTTAAGCGAATTATGTGTGTGTGTGTGTGTATGCGAGCGGAATAAGGAGTTTAGAGCTCTATCGCAGTTGTAGGTGACTCTGGGGAATTAGCGGCTTGTAAATGAAAGAGAAGCATGAGCAGAGTTGTTTTTCTGGTACAGGAAATGCGAGTCTTGCTATGGAATTTATGTTGCTTACAGAGTGTAAATTAGTTTTATGTATTGAGCTGCATTGGTTGAGGTTGAGCTCAAGATTACTTTAGTTTTCATTTACTTAACTTTGATAAACTCAACTGGATTATAAGATAAACAGACTTAAATTTATAGACGTTAAAGTGTATATAGTAAATTATTATTATTATTGTTAGATTATTTAGATATAAAGTGAACAACGGCTCAACTGGAAAATAGACCAAAAATTACGAATTGTTTATTCTTACAAAATAATAAAAATCAATATTAAATGTAAATTTTTAAATTTAAACTTCATTTATTTTATTCAATTTAGAGTATTCATTGAAGAGATATAACTTATTTGACATTCCAAAATATATATCTATATCTGTCTTACTATATTCTGACAAGCTGAGTTATTTCAACAAAACCCAATTATTTTGATTTGGAATTGACAACGCACAGTTGAAGTAACGGCAACCCAATTCCATGACTACCAAGAGCTACGGCGTACACGATTACAGAGATAAATCCTTTGAGCAGGTTTCCTGCCTACCATCAAACAAATCCAATTTGCAACTTGCCAATACAAAGTACAACTTTTGGCACTGTGTTTAAGTCTGACAATGGCTTTAATATGCGTTATACAAACTGAACAAAGGCAGACCGAGTTAGGGAGAGCAACATTCCGGCTCTTACAAATACTCTCATTACTTATAATTAATTAATATAACTGAGTCATTCAAATGATTTAACATGTAGCAGATTCGCTTTGAAGGCGAATATTATAAATCAATGCGTAATTAATACGAACTAACTGTTGAATTGCTATTTCGTTGCATAATTATCCATATATATGCATAATGAGAGAAGTGATATCCTTTTGGCAACACATTTGCAAATCTAGCTAAGCATATCAAAAAGTTTCTATTAATGAATAATTTAATTGATATTAAGCTACAACACGAAACTCTTATGTATTTGCAGATCATAAATATAAAAGTAAAGCCCTATTGGCAATACATTTGCTCAATACATGAAAGGATATTAGCTTACATTAAATTAGAATTACACTTGCTTCAAATAATTTGTAAGAGCATTATAGAGCTTCTAATTAATAATATAATTATAATTTTAAATCTTTCATTTAAGATAAAAATTATCATTTTTAAAAAATTAATAATTAATATAATCGATTTTTATTGCAGAATTATGATTATGATCAAGCTACTAAAACCAGCCAAAAAGAAAACAGAATTTCTGTACTTTATGAGAGTTCATCAGACTTCAATCATTAGAGGACTTTGATATCGCCTAATTTATCAATTCCTTCTTACTCTTGCTAAACTTTAATAAGCTGAACACTTCAACGTCGAAGCAAGCTTGCTGACTTTACTCTTTTGGTACATTGCCATATGGTGATAAATCAACCAGAAGCAGAAAGTTACAAAAATATGCAATAAAAAAAAATAAAAATATATATATATATATATATATAACTTGCAAATAAATAGTACTAGTAATAGTATATGCATCTGAATTATAAATAAATAATAAAAAAAAAATATATATAGTATATATAATCAAATTGAAAAGTTTTCAGTGCCCAACTCTTGTAACATAATTACAGCTATTTGCGTAATGTGCACCATTTCTCTTGGCTAGCATCTAAAATTTATGCACATGAAACACTTTGAGCACACATGTCGCCCTCTTGTTGAGGTCACAAATTACACTGAAACAACAACAAGCAAGCCGAGGAGTGAGCAGAGCAGCGAGTAGCGCAGGCAAGTGTTTATTTTTTGGCAGGCGTTAAGTAGTACCCGATTCTTAGACTCTTAGTCCTAGGCAGCGCCATTTATAATTTACGATGTCACGACGCCATTTTTAAATCACTGATAATGATAATAAATTAATATACACAGACAGCTAGGCGAACACACACACACGAATGCGCAGAGTCACAGCTGTGGCGTTCCCCTGTTTCCATGTTATTGTTCTTCTCTTTTTATGCCATACTTATTTAGCATGAAAAGTCAGTTTAAAATGTTAAACATACTGAAATAAAAAGACCTTACTTTTGCCTCGGCGTTTTTTTATTGTTGCTTGGCGCCCATTGCCCCCGCACCCTTCGCCCATTCCATTGACCTTACATTATTTGTGTGGGTCGAGGCAAAGTGTTTTTATGACTGCCCTTTGGCTAAGGAGAACGCTTTCAATTTTGACCCGGTCTATTGTTAAACTGTATTTTTGGCGGTAAAATGCTTTATGACGGGCCAGAACTTGAGATGATAATGGAAAGCCATTTAATGGCCGCAGCTAGCCAATGCAAGTCCAGAACAAAAGCGCCAAGAAAGGATTACTTAACACACTTAACTCTAACGTCCGTCCGCAAGCAACTATAATAAATGAATGCCGAAATTAGAGAAATAAAGAAAAGTCCAAATGGAAGCTGAAACAATTCTTGTTTTCTTGTGATTTACTCTGTCTATTTTATGGCTGCATTTTTAGTACTCCAGATTTAACAACATCCAAAGACAAATAAGAGAAACGTCGCTTATGCGCTTCATTTAGAATGAAATGAATTTTACGAACTGTAAAGTCAAGAATAAAGAAGTGGAAAAATCCCAGCTCGATAACAACGTGATCTCAAAGAGCTGAAAACAAATTGAGGTAAACAAAATATAAAAGTAAGTGCAGAGACTTCAATCAATATTGACGGGGAAAAGTTTTAGCTATATATACATATATACAGATTCAAACGCTTGATGAAAATCTATGGATACATACATAATAGAAAACGCTAAAACAAAACACAGAAAAAATAGATAGGTAGAGAGAGAGAGAGAGAGAGAGAGCGAGAAAATGAAATATTTTTGTGCAATGGCAACGCGTTTAAATATTTAAGAGTCATGTGGCTCACATGTTCGCCGTCTAGCACACAGAAGCTGCCAGCATGTTGAAAACAGTTTCAAAGTCTCACATACTTGCATAATAAATAATTTTTGGGCTCATAAATTTCGAATGCTGTATTTGCGCGCTGGACGGCGAACGGGCATTCGCATGGGGGGAATTGCCCAAGTTTTTACAGCTTCATTTTTCTGCATACCATTCCATGCCATTTGCACTAGGAAAATAGGCAAAAGAAATCACATAAAAGATTGTCACACAAATATACCACCTATATCTATCTATATATTTATATATACATACATATACAAGTATATATGTTTGTGTGCCCTATGCATGCTTCAGGACCATTCATATATTATTTGTGTGAGCTGCTTGTTGGATATGCGATATGGATTTCACTATGTAGACAGCATTTGGCTAGCTAACAAATTGTATACCCTGTAATTGTTGAAAGTAGCCAAAAGGGCATGTTAATGAATATTCTTTTAATGCATTTGTCTAAGAAAGTATTTGAGTTGATGAAGATAAAGCTGGCTGAGTTATTGCTAATTATTGTTTGTTAGATATTCATCAGCTGCTGCACGTGTCGAATCGATAAATATCGATTGGGTTTTCTTTAATTTATGTTATTTTTTTCAATGATTTAAATTGATATTCTTTGAAAATCACAAATTGCATACCTGTGCAGAAAATAATTTCTATCGAAGGTATTTATCGCGGATTGCATTCACGCTTTGATAACACCTGTTTACTAAACTTATATTTACTATTAAATCCACAGATTGTTTTCTGCACTTTTGCATATCTAAGTTTCGTTTCCGGCCAAGTTACTGAGTATCTAGCATTCGTTTACTTCCGGCTTGCTTGGTTCGTTCTCTGTTGCTCAACTTTGGCAAATACTCCTATTCGTATTATTGTTTTCTCTGCCTGACACACACACACATACACGCTCACACTTCAATTTGTACAACTGCTGTTGCTGTTTTACTTTCCCTCTCTCTCTCTCTCTCTCTCTCCCTTTGCAACCACTTTGCTCTTTCTCTTCTTTTTTTGGTAATTTTTTTTCCAATTCGGGTTAATGCTTTTTTCGCAGTCGTCACGACGTCGCGACGTTGACGAGCACGAAGGGCAGAGAGAATAAGATTTGGCTCCGTGGCTCGTTCGCTGCTCGAAATCCGACATGTCCCACAAGATGTGTGACTAACTGTGTGCGTGTGTGTGTGCATGTGTGTGTCAGCGTGTGTGTATGTGTTGTGGTTCACTCCTGTTTTAGTTCGCTATCACAGTTGTTAAACGTTCTCAATGAGATTTTGAATGTTGCGAGGCTGCAAATCTTTTTCACTCGCTCCGCCCTCCCGCTCTGCCGGCCATAATATTTATCAATGATAGTTTTCGCATGAGGCATCAATATCCAAATAGAATCATTGGACTTGTCTGTTGCCAAGTTTGTCTTTGTATTTTATGGATTTATTCATGGCGAGCGAAAGTTCAGTATCTCCCATTGTGTATCTTCAATGAGCCTTTATTTGTTAATATTTGGTAAATATTTGGCGTACATGGCGTATGAGCAATAATATTTTCACAAGGCCAACGCACACACTCACACATGAGCACACGCATACGCGCAGTCGGGCAGCGTATTAAAATAAACAAATGTTTATTACGACCCAACGTCAAATATTTTGTGCCCTCGAATGTGAAAAATATTCAAAGCCATCTTTTAATATTTATGCAGCAGCGAGAGCAGAGCCAGAGCAGAGCTGAGCAGAGTCAGAGCAGAGCAGTCAGGGTCAGAGCAGTCAGAGGCAAACCCATATAGGAAATCGGCAAATTGGTATTTTGGTAATGTTTATATCATCATTTATTTATGTTTATGTATATATTTGTTTATATTTTTATGTACGCCTCAAAGCAGGACATTCAAATCAGGAGGAGGCAAGAAGTCAGGCCACACAATGATTGGACAGAATAACATAAAAAGACTTTTGCTACTGATGACATTATGATTATTGTCTTTAAACGTTCACGAAAGTTACCCCAACAGCGTCTAATGTCCGTTGCAAGTCATCCTCTGGGATTTAGTTGCAAACAAAATATTATAGCTGATTTTGTTTTATATACGTACGTTTATACATATGTTGTATATATGACATAAGATTGAGATGTATCTGTTTTTTTTTTTTTTTTTTTTTTTTTGCTGTGGATAAATTACTTATATATTTTTTTAAGAGTCATGCTTAGGCTTGACTTTTTGGAGTTTGGGAAATCGACAAATTGCCTTTCTTCATGTTTACAGCTAATCTACTCCAATTTGTTTGTTCACATTAAATGATATTTTATGGTCATTTAGTTATGTTATTTACCTTAAATATTTGTAGATTGCATAAAAGTGAAATATATTAAATACAAATTTACAAATGCTTTAAAGCAGCTCTGACATCTATTCGTATCATTTAATATTCATATTCTATCTATTCGCGATTCATTTAGTATTTAGGTGAAAAGTGTCTCAGATTTTCTTTAATTTTAGTACTTTAGTAGCTTGTAACAACAATTTACTTCATTAAGCTAATTTTATGTAGATCTACTTCACTCATTCAAATTCATTTATTTAAATTAATTGAAGCAACAAGAGCAAAGTATACTTTATAAATTGCGATGAAATCCTTGAAGACTTAGTTAAATACTTAGCACAGGCGTATATAATTCGATAATAAGATTTGAACGTAACCGTGCGTTACAGCCTTGCTGGCCTAACCGAACAAAGCCCTTTTGCTAAGGGGAGAAGCCCTTCTGTACATTTGCCTGATGTCCATCAAGTTAATTTGCTCAAACAGAGATTTCGCATTCAAGTATATTTTCATGTAGATTAAAGCACCAGCTCACACTTGCAATTAAAAGCAAAAGCTGATTAAATCAATGTCTAATTTATGCAGCAAAATGTTGCCTGAGTCTGCTTAAAGCGCAATCAAATGAAATTTATTTACACTCAACTTAAATTGTTTTAGATAATTAGATACGTATATATACCTACATATATATAAAGCGTATGTATTTAGTATATTTATATATTTTCGATATAAAATGAAATTAGCATTCTGTACTCACAGTCATTGTGATCCTTGGCGTTGACAGTGAGCACTGTGCTCTGCAAATCGGCATTCTCATCGATTTCAGTCTCGTACAGAAATCTATCGAAATATGGCGGCGAATCGTTTTTGTCGGCAATACCAATGCGTACAAATTTTGTAACTGCAAATAAAAATAGAAATAAAATGGAGTCAAATTAGAAATAGCAAGCAGAAAAGCGACAAATGCTTAAAGAGATTCATATATGTATGTATATATAGATATATATGCATTTATATTGATTGGACTGTGTTAAGTCTATGAAATGCCAATAAGCCGCATTAATTATGGCCAAAATTTATCGATTGACAAATTGCGCGCGTGCCTCGGCGTCAACTGAAAGTCGTAAATTGCTCGGCTTATGCGCGAAACGTGGCATGCATTAAATTGCGGCACGCATCTCGGCCAAAAACTGAGCAAATGAGCATAATTAAATTGTCGAATGAGTTGACTGAGCGTTGAGAGCGTCAACGAATTAATATTAAAACCGCCAACAGCTCTCGGGAATGTCACTTGGAGCCGCAGTTTACTGTGTGTGTGTGTGTGTGGGGGGGTGCGGTCTGTGTGTGGGTGCAGAAACATTTTGCTCAAAGCGTCAAACTTTTCCAGTTTGCACCAAGATCCCAAACAACATCCCATTCAGATCTTATGCACCCCAACAAAAAACCAAAGAGAATATTGGACTTTACTCTCATCACTTTGTAGAGTTTTTTGTTAAATACTGCTACTACTTTTGGTCTCAGAGACCATTGTATATAACATATCGGGTATATTGGTTTTGGGAAAATGTTTGTAACAATCAGAAGGAGTCGCAATGGACTTTTGCTATAAATGTATTTTATATATCAGGATTATGATTAGGATTGATCTAGCGAATCCTGTTTGCGTGCTTGGCCATCCTTTTATCTGTCTATTAATCCATTCCTCCTGTCTGCCCGTTTCTTTCATGACCCACAATAGTTAGAGACTTGTAATATTATATATATACTTCTGTATTCCATATGCAGTAATGTTTTTCAAATTTGTTCGATAGCTCAATCCACTTGACTAATATCGATACAAATCTTATTTAGGCATTTAAGGTATTGCTTAAAAATGGTCTTAGCTTGGGAATCACTCCGAAAATATATACTAAGATTTTTGAGTTTTTGGACTTCGTATTCTTCCTGTCTCTTACATAAATTTAGACACATTTCAAATATTAGAGACTTGTGGCTTGGCCTCTACAAACACGTTTAGGGTATCTTTCAGTTGTGTAGCCTCGGGAAAAACACTTTAACTTTCTCAACTCCTTGTTTTTGTTTATTTGCTGCTAATTTCTTGTTTAACCCAAGTTGTTGAAGAGTTTTTTTTTTTTTTTTTTTTTTTTTTTTTTTGCGGATTCAAGCTCAACTCTGCACTAATGAGTTTCCATTTTTCATCCCCGTTTCAAGAAAGATCCACTTCAAGCTCCTTTTACAAAGTTCGGTATTACTATTTTTTTTATTACTTTGCACATAGTTTGTTTAGGCAAATTTATATAAGATATTAGATTTGGGTTTCCTTTGGCTTTTCCGAACACTTCAAAGGAATCGGTTTTCGTACGCTCTGATATGCTCAAGGACTTATTTTCGTTGCGGTTAAGCTTTGAACGAGCTGCGAATTTGTGACTTTGATTTTTGCCTGGCTCAAACCCATCTAATTTTTCAAATTTAAGCCCTAATTGAATAAGCAATAGCTCTATTTTCCATTTTTGTGATAAATTGATCAAGAGTTGGTTTCCTTTGGATTGGCCAAAACCAGGACCATGTTTATTTCTTCAGTCATTTAAATGAAAATATATTTTGAATGCATTTAAATTTGAGGTGTTGCATTTAGTTATACCTGAACATAATTGGTTTACTATGGCTTCAGCTAAGGTAAGCTCTGGCAAACAGATTTTTTAAAGTGCACTCTTAACAACAGCGCAAAGCAAGGCAAGGCAAGGCAAGTTTTGGCATCAAAGCACGTTGGCTGCTAGAAAAGTTTATGCCTCTGGTAAAATTTTCATACATGCGGAAGCAATAATCTGCTTTTCCTGTTAGAATTTTATAGCAACTGCAACTTGCATGTCCGTGTGTGTGTGTGCGTGTGTATGTAAACACAAAAGGTTCAAGCACTGAACTACTTGTATAAATATAAATAAATAATATAAAATATATACATTTTCCAAAAATAAATGCTTTAAATGGATGGAAAATTGTAAGAGAGAGAGTGAGCAAGAGAGAGAGAGACGGCACATACACTCACACTTGGACACACGTCATAAAGTTGGTAGGAAAATTAATATTGCCAGCAGGCAGTCGCTCGTTGCGTATACGTAATATTAAAAGCACGACAGTTGGTTCCTTTTGGCAGGCGAGCAGAGCAGAGCAGAGCAGAGCAGAGCAGAGCAGAGGAGAGGAGAGCACAGAATGCATAAAGACGAAGAGTTTTATTAAACGCATTTCCTCCCGCCACAAAATGCATTTTAATCTCTGACATAACATTTTCAGGGCACAGCGAATACAACGAGCTCGAATGTCTATTGAAAGCATTTGCAAAAGGTCGAAGTTTAAGAGCTGTCAATGGAACTCTTTTTATTTTGGTTGATTTCTATAGAGGCCGTTTGATTTTATATATGAATAACACAATTTTATGCATTCAGTATATTTATTTATTTTATATGTGTTGCTGTTAAGTGAAATGCAAAGTTTTTAGCATGTTGTGAACAATATTTTGCATCACTTAGCAAATAGAAATGTTTGATTAAAACTTCAATATTTTGTTATGTGTAATTCGATGTTTTTAAAATTTATTTGTATGAGTTAAAATTGAACAGACTTTGCATTTTTAAGCTATATTTATTTTATTTATTGAAGCATAAACAGGATTATATTTATCATGCATTTTTAATGTAGTTGCAAAATCCTTGAGTAAAGTCTTAACATTTTATTTACTTGTTCAATTTTCGTGCTTTTTATTTTCATAAATATTTGAAATCATTCAGAGTGAAAGCAAAACACAATTGAAATGAGTTTTCTGCAACGCTGTGCGCACTTTTAAGTCCTCTATTTTTTCATTTAGTTAACTAAATTAAAAGTAATCAGGTCGTAAAATGTTTCGCTTCTACTTTTTTTTTTTTTTTTTTTTTTTTTTTTTCTTTGTTTCTGTGGTATAACAAACGAAATCTAATTTGGAATTTGGCTTAGCCTTATTTGGTTTGGAAGCGGGCAGTCGGAGGCACGTAATGCTTGCCAACCGGAAAGCGAAGGAAAATGAGAAATGAGCAAAAGTAAATACACACGCAGGCGAACCAACTGAACTCAACTCTTTTTGGAGGCAACAGCTCAAGCGTCCAGCTTGTGTAAATAGGGCGAAAATAATAATAATGAAAAAAGCAGCAGAGGCGAAACACCAAGGCGAGAAAGAGAGAGAGAGAGAGAAAGCGAGAGAGTGGAAGAGCAAGATAGAGCAGCGGTAATAGCAGCAGGTACGCAAGTATGTGTAGCTACAATATACTAAATAAATACAACAGCTATAAACGCACACACACACACACACACGCATGCTCAAAAACACAGCTGCCCTCACACACACAGAGACACACATACTACACTCACGCTGAGCAAACACGGCAGCTCTTGAAATTGAATTTTCGTTTTTTCCCCTTTTTTCGGACTGGGGTGCTTACCGCTATCTTGACTTAATTTTTGGCAATCGACGGTAAAAACAAGACAAGAGCAAATATAACAAAGGAAAAGACCTTGACAGACCTAACGTGGGATACTGAATTTTAAATACCCTTTAAAAATATCTAATTTGAAAATACTTAAATATTGTAAAATGTTTCTAATAAGGTTATTCCTATTGAAAATATGCATATTTTAATTTAAAATTCTTTTACATTTACTTCTGTACTGTATCAGTATAAAATTAATTAAATTAGTTTCTCTTAACTTACTAATTGGCATGGCATTTGCCTTTGCTTGGAAATTCATGTTGATATATATATTTTTTCATATTATTTATTAAATTATAAATAAAGGCATTTATTAATTAATTATATAGCATATAATTGTTAATTGGAAAATATTTATGATATTAAACTTAAAAGCTTAAGCCATAATTTCTTCCTTTGTAAAATATATTCATTATGTATATGTCAATTGGGAGTAATTTGCAATAAATATAAATTTAAATTAAATGTTAATTAAAATATTTTTCTCTTATATATGTTTTCTATATGAGGACATATGCTAACTGGAAGTATGTGATTGGAAATGAAATCTAGATAGTTAAGCAATAAGTTAGAAAACCATCACAGATATTAATATTACCATATACCAATAGTATCATATAATAAATAGATTTAAACATATACATATATTAATTTTCCATATTTATTATTCAATATTGAATATTCAATATTCAATTTCAGATGACCATGACAATATCTATAAAATGCTTTACAGCTATAGATTTATTGATATTGCCCTAAATGTCATACAGATGTAAATTGCTGTGCGAGCTCGATGCTAGTAATAGAGACCACAAATCGTTGGATTATTTGGACAAATTTCATAGTAAAGTTGATTTATTACTTAACAGATCTACAGGCAGCCAAACGAATGGACATTTCTAGTACGATTCGTCGCTTCAGATCTCTTCTCTCCCTCTGCACTCGGCATGACTTACCTTAAAGGCCCCCACCAAAGAATATACAAACAGTCATTTACTGGCTGCATATTAAAGTGGCCCTTTTGTTGGTGTTAAATTGAGCAACAAAATGAGCAGAGATTGGCAGGGAAAGGGACTCATTTTCAACTATTAACGTGCAGCCCAGAGACAGGTGCCACCGCACTGAGTCAACTATTTATGGTCGCATAACTGGCACAGCAAGTGCCACGCCCAGCGACGTCCGCAGCATATGTCAGACGTCAGTCTGTGAAAAGCTGCCAACAGCAGCGGTAGCTTGTGTAAGAATCAACACACACACACACACACACACACACAGAGAGTGAGAGAGAGAGAAAGAAAGAAAGAGAGACATTTCATCATTTTGTTAGCTGCTTTTCAACACAGTAGTTTTTTTCGTTCATAATTTCGTATATACATATATAATACATATAAAACTGTGCTGGCAAAGTGGCGTCAAATGTCAGAGAAAGAGAAGTAGTTTACAGAGTCGGAAGTTTGGGGAGTTTTTTTTTTTTTTTAACTATTTTTTTTTTTTTTTTTGTGTTATCCCAAAGGCAACAAAGCGCATCACATTTTAAGTGACAGCAGGTTTGGGACTAAACAATATATGAGGGAAGGGTGCTATGTAGGATTGAGGGGAGAGTGGAGGGGCAATTGCTGCTGAATTTGCTAGTTGACTGGTTATTTTTGGGGTTTTTGATGTTCCTGATGATGGGGATGATGATGTGGATGTGCAGTCATGCAGCGTCAGTCAAAAGAAAAAGTTCAACATCATAATGTGGCAGAAGGGAGCAGAGCTAATATAGCTATAAATAAATGTAATCCTGTTGAGTAAGTATAAAATTGAAGCTTTGTATTCTAAAGTACACCTTGATAGATAATTTAAAATATTTTGCAGCTATTTAGTGTTGAAATTAAGTTTTTAATAGAGAGCACTTAGAGCAATAGAAAAAGAAATTGGAGAAAAACCAGTGACGGGCTTAATATAATTTCTAGTTTTATTAAAAAAAAAAATTTTTTTAATGTTTTTATGATGATGTGCGAGAGCTTTAGTGTATTAGAGGTCATGAATTTTGGTGAATTAAATAAAGTATACTAAAGAAGGTATATATATATATATATATATATATATATATATATATATATATATATGTTTATATATTTGTGCAATTTTATCAATCGCAAGATAATTAATAATATCATAATAAATATTCTAAAATTAGAGATTTTTTTTTATAAATTTGTGGAAATACTATTAACTTAAATAGTATTTCTCAGGGTTCATCAATCACTCTATAGAGTCAATTTTCTCTCAAAGAGAAAATAATTGCATAAAATTAGTCATAAGATAAATGGCAAATCATAATAATATAATAATATACCAAAACAAAAAACTTTTTTATAGCTTCAACAGCTGCTGAGATATGCTTAATAATAAACTTAAGATACTTTATACAAGAGCATTATAAAATTTTGTAATGGTTGCCAATTTGTAATATTGCAAATTGCAGCGCTTGTCGTTTGCGACAACATTGTCGCCTGCGCTGCAATACGAAAAAAAAAATTTGGGACAAGCGAAGCTTTCAAGATCGAGCTTTCGCTAAGCTTTCGCTTGCTCGCTCGTCGGAGACAGTGGGAGCAATACGCTCGATCGCATTCCGCTGTCCGAAGCTTCGCTGAGAGCGAAACATTGAAACCAAGAACACTGGAATGTGGGCGTATAAAAAGCGGCCACATTGTCAGCTCCATCTTTTTCCGGCCCACATTTTCAATAAGTTACCCTCAGCGTGGAGTTCTATCCAGCTAAAATTTTTATTAATAATTATATATATATATATATCTTTATATATATATTTAACAAAAAGAAACATACACAAAAGATTATTGCCCTCCACAAAAGATTGCAATTTTCTGAATTTGGCCCACCGTGACCAGCTGAGCTGGTCAGTCATTAACTTTGGTGCGCGCAGCCGCACGCATTTTTACTCGTGGGAAACAACAAGTGTGCAAGCAGGCAACAAAAGGTATTTTGATCAAAATTAATATAAATTAAAACTTAGTTTACAGAAACTAAGTCGGTTTTTTTGTATTTTGCAGCCTTTAATATAACCCTAACCTCTCGGCCAGCAGAAGGCCACATGCACACATGCGCTGTGCAGAGGTTAGGGCTATATATTAAAATAGCCCCCGAAAAAAAAAGATTAGCCACCGAAGAAAAAAAAGAGCCCCGAAAAATAGCACCCGAAATAAAATGTATAGCAGATCGCGGCGAGGGATTATCATCGACATATTAGTGAAAAAAAAAAAAAAATATATATATATATATATATATATATATATATGTATATATATAAACTAAAAATTACAAATCATTAACTGTGCGGTTTAAAAAAGAAACAAAAATTAGAGAAAAAAAATATATATATCTGCATGTGTGCGCAATGTGAAGAAAAAAAAAACATAAGAAAAAAACTACCAAGACCAATTTGATAAAAGTGAACGTGCTGCATAAAACTGCAAGTACACGAAAAACAAAAAAAAAAGAACTTTAAATGTTTAGTGGTTAAATAAATTCTTGATTTAAGAGACAATAATGAATATTATACATAGATAGAATTAAATATATATATAATACAAAAAAAAAAAAAAAAAAAAAAAAAAGAAGCATGATACTATAATTCACCACTAAAATAATAATAATTCATTAAAATAATTCACACACACACCCTCCATATAGCAGCAGCAGCAGTCACCAAAAGAAAGGCCTTTCAGCGGTGGACATACAACAAAAAGAACTGTGAGTGCTAAATTAACCCTTGTTTTCCCCTCCCTATCATGTCCCCAAAATGTATAACGAAATAAAACTAAATAAATAAATAAAGAAAAAAAAAAAAGAAAAAAAAAAAAAAAAAAAAAAAAAAAAGAAAAAAAAAAAAAAGAAAAAAAATTTTGAATAAAGAATGAAATACAAACTATGAAATAAAAACTCTGAAATAAAAGCTATGAATTAAAACTAAATTTTTAAATTAATATATATTAACTCATACCCCCCAAATGTCTAAAATATGATTTAAACATTTTTTAATATTTTATTGTAATATTATATTATTATATTATTATGTTATTATTACTATATTGTTAACCTTTTTATTCATTTGTAATTTTTTCATATTATGTAGTTTTTTTTCATTTTTTTATACACGCAAAGTAAATACCAAACACATGCACATACATATATATAAATTCAAGAACATGAAGCGACAGTAATTAAGAGTAAATGAAAATGTAATAGTCTAGTTAGAGTAATTTAAAGAATAAATGTATCTTTTAGAATTTTTTTGAGTTTCCTTAATAAATTAACATGGTAGGCTAGGAGTATAGCTTGGTATAGAAGAGAGAGAGAGTCGAGGCAATCTTTATTAGGGGATCTTCATAAACAATTTAAAGCTGAAGATCATGGTTGGGTTTGGGTAAAGACACCGAGAAGCCAACACCACCTCGGCTTCCGCGTCTTTCTAACTGTCAGTGTTTGTTTCGTTTTTTTTGTTGTCCGAATGTTTGCTTTGTGCAGGAATCCTAAAAATTTTAAAGTTTGTGTGTATTGGTGAAGGTATGGCAAAACCCACCCCCCCACCGACAGAGCTAAGGGAACCAGAGGATTCCGCCCGCCATTACCCGATCCACGTCTTGTGTATGTTGATGTATGTTGATGTATGTATGTATGTATGTATACATGTATGTGAATATGTGTATATATGTATATATGTATATATATAAACATGCGAATGCACGAAGATCGCTTTCATGCTCGAGTACGCTCGTTACATAGATTTTATGGCGCCCAACGGGGGGGCCTGAAAATCGAAGAGAGAAGTTAACGCCCGCTGCATTCATACATAAGATCGATACATTACAATTTACATTTAATTTGAATATGCCTGCCAGCATTACGTCTGTAAGCAGCTACTCCTCATGCACTCATTACTTGTTTGGCTTTAATCACCAATTAGACCCTTGCGAAATGTGCTCAGGAAATTATTAAGCCGTACTGCATGATTTATGTGCACACACAGAACACAGAGCGCACACGTACACGGACAGAGTCCGCGTACACCCACACACTCGCACTCACACACCTACTCGATTACGGATTTCTGGATTTGGCGAATCAGCAGCAAAGCCACCAAGTGGAAAAAGCTTGCAACACGATGAGAAACCTCAATTTACGCACAAAGTAAAAACACAATTGAATCCATTTAATAAACTCGTTGAACCCCAATGAAATCCGGAAAACGCCCTTGGGCCGCTGGCAGCTCATTAACTTTGTAGGCATCGAGCACGGCAAAGTCTGAGTTTGAGGAAAATTCACTTTGCCTGACCAAAAAACAGAAAAAATTTATTTCAATTAGGCAGCGAGTCCAAGCGAATATGCTTTATATATGTATATAAGTTATTTTAATTGAAATTTGTATTCATTAGCCATCAACAGGCACGTCGTGAGCTTCTAATGCCCGGAAGTAATCCACCTGCACTTCAACCCGACAGCTGCAGCTCGAGCTATAAATTTATAATTAAACTTGCCGCGGCGGATGCTCTGTAATCATCAAATGCTGGTCAGTTTATTTTTATTATTATTTTTTTTTATTTTTGCTTTCATATTTTATTTTGCTTGGCGGCTGCCTTGACTAATTAAAAAGTATGTAAACATAAAATAGGGAACAAGCTAAAAGGGGAAGTTTGACAGCGACTGTTGTGAGACAGGATACCCTGTTGCTGATAGATGACAAGCTTATGGTTTGCTACAATTTTACGCTGAAGTAAAACTGAAGCTCAGATAATTAGGTAGAATGGATAAAGATGTTGAAAATGTCTGTGTAATTATTCACATTCATAAATAGAAATATTAATGTTTGAAAAAATAATAATAATATGCCTAAGTCTGTCTTTTTTTTTACTCACTTATCGTCCTCTCTGCCTCTTGCGTTATGAACATCTATACAATTTGCACTGTCCTAATCGCCATGCTAAATATACATATGAGCATAGCTTCTTTCGCTCTGTTCACAACAACAACCAACGGCCCCATACATACTCGCCCCTGCTCAGTCTTTGGTTCTTTTCGTTTTGATACTCGTTAGTTCGCCTTGCGTTGCTTCAATCGTGTGACGAATCAGGAGAGATACGATTGATGATCGCAGATTATGAGCGAAAGATACTTATATGAGACATCAAGACATGCTCATCAGTTATATTTGAGCTATGCATATTAGGAATAAACAAAAATATGGTAAGCTCTTATAACTGTGACAAACATATTTAATATTTTAAATAATAGGTCCTAACAATCAAGTATGCAGCAATAGCTCTAAGCCCTAAAATAAGACAAGTGGCCTCTATACATAAATATATAGTGATTTCCATTTTATGATTTTATGATTTTGTGTATAGTGCTCGTCCATTGACTTTTATACACAGAGTAAAAAGGAAAAATCTCAAGCGATTGCCTATTGATAGATGTTTATACATAATACATAACATATCACATTGTCAAATCAATCAAAGGATAAAAAATATTTCCAAGCCAAGTTCCTGCTTCATAATCCCTGTTTTTATCACAATCAAATCTGTTTAAAATTAGAACTCCTACAATGTAGATATTTTTTGCTCTTACAGCAGACTAAAAAAAGAATGTAATATTTATGAAAATATTATCTACTGCGTGCAGCATGTTTCTTGCTCGCCATTAACTGATTTCAGGGTATACAAATGAGAAACGCGAACGCCATGACAAGCGAGTAAACAAAACGCGCCAAAGACAAAAGGCAAAAAAATACAAAACAAGAAAAAAAAAAACAAAAGCTGAAAATGTAAATGAAATCCAACCAGAAAGCAAGATGGCGCACGTTACATTTTTATAAAAGATACAGAGGGGGGGAGCATGGCGATAAAGGCAGTTCCTGATGAGTTGACAAATATTTTGTCAGCCATAATGAGTTGGCCTTCGCGTTGGCCGTGTTGCCGCTGCGAGGGTCTCGTTTGGCATTTGTAGCCGCATGTCGCATGTCGCATGTCGCACGTCGCGATTCGCTGTTCATTAACAACAAAACAAAAGTGAAGGGCAGCTGAGGCATTGGACTAGGGGCACAGGGCCTGGACATTCGACAGCATGTTAATTACGACCTGTGTCCACTGAGGGTCAGCCGCAATTAAAAACTTTTGCGCCTGCCGAATTCGCGACCCAGCAACTTTTTAATGCATAACGACACGCTCTCACATAAATTACCCAGCGAAGCGACAAAGGAAATCAACAGATATAGAAATCCAAAACTCATGCGAATATGATTTGAGATAAAGCAATTAATTTAGCTAAAAACTAATTAAAAGTAACACAATCACGTCACTTGCTGTTGGCCTCAGGCGAAATTAGACACATTTATTGCAAACCCTTTGACTTTTAAATAGATCAACATTTTATGGCGGGCCATGTCAAAGTGTTTGCCTTTGGCATTGACATATCACGCATACGCCGCGTCTGCCACTAAAGCCACCCAATTAACCCATTCACCCCGCTGCCGCCTCAGCCCACGCGCTCTGATTCTGCTTTGCCTGCTTTCCCTATTACATATTAGTTTAATACTATTTATAAAAGTCACGCACACAGCCGCAAACAGCATCAAATAAATGAAAATGAAATACAAAAGCCAATGCAAACACAAACTCTCTCTCTCTCTCTCTCTCTATACTTGCTCGCAACTCTTTTTCATGGGGCTGGCAAACAGTATTTATGTGTAGCTAGTGGGCTTAACTATGGTATACCCTGTGTTTCGCTGTAATGTGTGCATCCATTAATCATTTATAAGCCGAAGGCCCCACTTGCCAGTGCTTAGCTTTAAGTTAGTTTTCATTTTATATCAACTTTAACTTCTAACTTAATTTCATATTAATTTTCATATATTTTTGAATATGTGCACGAGTGTTGACTTAGTCTTTTGCATGCATCTATTGCATACTTTTCAATTTATTAAAAATATTTTAAATGTTTTGATATAAATGTAGATTATAGCAAACAATAGCTAATTATAAATGCATATGCATTAGATTTGCTCATATTTTATTGCAGTGCATCTATTATTATTCATTATGATTTCTGTACCAAAAAAACATTCATTATTCATTAATATACTTTTCTGCCTTTTAGAATAATCCCCATCAGTTATTTTTTTACTAGTGCTACCATATTTTTTCCAGCCTTGAAGCACTTAAAACATCTTGGGATTTTAATCAATGGAATATTTTTCTGTTCAATTAAGCAAATGTTGAATATATTTTATTTATGCGTTGCTTTATTTTTCTTATTTTTTTAATATTTAAATCGGCAAAGTAGAAAATACTTTATGTTTGATATATGAAGTACGATTTCTGATCTATAAAAAAAAAAAAAAAAAAAAACATTGCTGAATTAGCAAAATGAAACCATGTGAAAGAATAATTCAGTATTTAGTTATTTAATACAAAATGTATATATATGTACTTATGTATAGTGTATGAATTCCTATCACTCATTAGACCTCTGCCTTCTTCAAGCGAAAGGCTTTATCTTCAAGCTTCCAGCTGCCATTAGACATTTTATTCTCCCATCATATCCTTTTTCTTCTGTGCTTCCTACAATCTCAGCCAACACATATTCCCCATTAGAGGGAGCTGTTATCGCACAGTATAGGGAAAGAATTGTCATAAAACTAAATCCGAAATACATGTGTAAACACAATGTGGAGATTATCATAAACTTGGCTAATTTATTACACAGTGTTTGTCGCTTTATGCATGGGCATGGCCGTGGGCGTAACGTTAACCGCCTTGAGGATTAAAATTTTTGCGCTGACAACGAAAGTAATAAAAAAAAAAAAGTTTTCTATGAGTTTGTATATGCGCGTGTGTGGTTTACTGTTATTTATTTATTTGTTTTTGTGTCACAAACTAATTAGTAAATTAAAAGCATTTTGAAAATGTTTGTATTGTATTTGCCTGTCGCAAACACACACTCACACAAAGTCAGCTTTTATGCAAATAGAATCTGATTGTGGTGCAAGGACAGCCTCCAGCTAGTTCAGTGCTATGCTATATGATCTATTACTTGTTACTGTGTTACAAAACCATTTTTTTTTTAAATAATATAAAAAAATATATTAATAATAATAATTATGTTCAATAAAAAAAAGAACAAAAATTAACAAAACTAAATTTAAAAAAAAATTTAAAAAAAAAGTAAAATAACACGAATTCTACCTTGAATAATTTGTTTTGAGTGTAGTATAAAAAGTTACGTAAAGCATTTTGGCTTTAGTAAAGTTTTTACTAGTGCACTAAATAAATAATATAATAAATAAATCTATATAGTCGATGTATTTATATAATTTACTTTGAAAACAAATTAAATAAATGGAGATATTTTATTTGTATTGCAATTTTAAAAAAATGTACATTTGATTGAATATATAATTATGAAATAATTATGCTAGTCAGCCTTTTTTTTTTTTAAATCTCAATAAAGCAGACTGTCAAATGAGTCATACTAAAACAAAGCAAGTATCTTATAGTCGTCCGATTATCCTGTATAATTTTAGCTGACTCTAGAATATATGTATATCCGAATTTCGAGTTCATAATTGCCACAGTTTCTCAAATCATAGTGCCTACATTTTAATAGCTCTTTATAATGGGTAAATGCTCGAAGTCTCCAATGCTATGCAATCATGTAAAACAGGCAAACACTCAGACGGACATTACCCTCAACCCATACACCTCGTTCACTCCACGAACGACCACTAAAAAGTGCTCCAAAGCCATAAATTTGTAATGTGAGCCGCTTTAGCCGCTTAAAACAAAAACTCAATGATAATTTGTCACTGAAATTACAGCTACGACAAAAGCCCCTGCTTCAGTGCCAAATGCCTAAGAAACTGATTACACTCATCAACTAGAGCCAGCATCTTCTCGTCTTCTCTAAGTTTGCGGTAGGCCCTAATCTAAATGCATCCATTAAAATGTATAAAAAGCCCAGCCCAGACTCAAGCAGGCACTTGCGAAAATATTAATGCATATATAAAAAGCCTGGCATAAACACAAGGGTATCATAAGTTTGTCATATCCGCAGGCAGCACACACACACACACACACCTGCACACACACGCACCCACAGACTGAATTCTTCACACATAAAAGATTTCTTTAAATAACACATCATGAAATTTTAATAGACAGCAGTTGCTTGCAGCTGTATGTAATCATAAACAGGCAGCGTGTTACTTAGCTTGATTTGCTTCATACACACCTTTACACACACATGCACACAAATTGCTTTACACACTTACCTAAATAGGTGCTATTTGTCAAAACCCAAAAGATTTTTAATGGATCGACCATAACTACGCAGGCGAACGGGCAATAGCAAAAGCTAAGAAGGACTTCACGTTGATGTTGCTGCTGCTGCTGTTGTTGTTGCTGCTGTTGCTGCTGCTGTTGCTATGATTATTGCACTTGCTGCACGCCTGCAACACGTTGATAAACAGCAAATCGCTCCTCCTTGCCAGTCAACAGTTGTTTACTGTCAAGCTTTGTACAACAGCTAGCAATTAATTTGTTGCTGCCGTTGCTGCTGCTGTTATGGGTATTGTTGCTGTTGTTGCTGTTGCTATGGTGCGAGGCTTTGCAATTTTGCTTTGTTGCTATTGCTGTTACTGTTGCTGTGAATGACTAAATGATAAACGCGACTTTGCCTTCTCAGTTGCTGCTGTTGATCCACCTGCTGCTGCTGCTGCTGTTGTTGCTGTTGTTGTTGCTGGTGCTGCTGCTGCTGCTGCTGCTGCTGTTGTTGCTGTTGTTGCTGCTGGTGCTGCTCTTGGTTGGCTGGCCTTTCTGTTTGTTGATTCGCACTATATTTAATGAGCAAAGCGCGAATGCTGCAATTGCGGTTGCTGTTGTTGCTGCTGTTGTTGCTGCTGTTGTTGCTGCCGTTGCAGCTGTAGTGGTCGTTGCTCTTACCTTTGAGGTATTTTTGCAATTTGCGTTGTGCACTTTTATGGCGTTTACATAAATCGAAAATTTGCGCATTTTTCATAGTACTAAGCGTTAATTTGTTTTAAATTGCATTGCTCAAATTCACATTTTAATTAACTGCGAATGGCGATGGGTGTGTGTTTCACATATTCGCAATTGTTGCTTTCACTTATTCTAGCTGTGCACTGCAATTAAATGTTTGCGGTTTATTTACAGTCGTAGTTTATATGTCAACGACAAGCAACAATGTCGAAGCCATTCGCCACTCAAACGAAACCACCCAATACACCCAACTACCCAACCGCCCCACCAGTCAAGCAGCCAACCACGGAACCACCCAACCAACAAATGCCTGAAAGAGTAACATCATTATGGCTCTGCTCTTCATTATCTCAAGCTATTAAAAACTTATGACATTGTCATAAACTTTTAACCAGTTTGTGCAATTTTCTCTCCCCCTCTCTCTCCCTTCATAACATCTCACTCTCTCTCTCTCTCTCTCTGTTTTGTTTGAATTTGTTGTGCAGAAAGTAAATTTTTGTTGTCATTTTCATCTGTAGGTTTTCAATTGCGTTTTATGACATCAAATAAGTTGAAGCTAATATTTACTAATGGATGTTGTGTAATTATTTTTAAATTTTATCTGTGACCCATATGTGTATTGGAGAAGAGGAAAACTTTTGATGGCGCATAAAAGTAGGCAATACATTAGAAGTTATCAATGGACGAGTGTAGTTTGGCAGACTTTTTATACTTAGTTAGAGGCCATAAATATGGGTAGTAAAAATAAGAACCAAACATGAGAGAGGGAGAGTAACAAATTTGAGAGATTAAAAATGACAGAAAGGATGAGTGATAGATGGAGAGAGAACTAACGCACATTACGTTAGATTGTGATACAGAATGGTCGATAAAGCGGAATTATGACTAATAAGCTTTATTGACTTGAAATCGAGAAAAAGATTGTCGAAACAAACATTGAGAGAGAGGGGGCAAGAGAGGCAGAGAAAAATAAAGAAATATATTGACTGAGAGACAGAGAAGAAGCGGAGAGTAAGCTGAGGAACATTGAGGCAAAGTAGAGAAAAGAAAGTGTGAGACAAGCACTTAACAGAATTTATAGACTAGTTAAAGTGAGAGAAAGAATGCAAGCATTGATTAGGGCAAAGAGAAACGGGAATAATCAGAAAGACGGAGAGTGAGTCAGATAAACAGAAGGAGCACAAAACAATTTATATACTAGTCAAATGGAGAGAGAGAGTGAGTGTGTGTGAGAGAAACAAAGAGAGAGGGAAACAAGAGAAAGAGAGAGGGAGAGGGAAACAAGAGAGAGACAGAGAGAGAGAGAGAGAGAGTGTATGTGTGAGAGAGACAAAGAGAGAGAGAGAGAGAGAGAGAGAAACGAAGAAAGAAAAGAAGATAGTGGAACAGATTATAACAGCATGAAATTTATTAAGCAAAGTTGATTAGAGAAAATGGTAGAACATATTATTGTGAGTTGGATACATGGATCTGATGCTGATCTGAACATTTTTATTTATTCATTGCAATATTTATAAAACTAATTGCAGTTATGTTTTTCCCTTAGCCAAACAGCAAAAGAAAGTGAGAGAGAGAGAGAGAGAGAGAGAAAGCTTGAAATTGGCTACAGAAAATGTTAACAAAATATTACGGAAAGAAAATATAGTTTATTAACTTTTCCTATTTCCTCTTAATTATTGCATAGAAATGTTTGAAACATTTGCTAAACTATCCTCAGATAAATTTTACAGGTTCACATACCGGGCAACTGTGTCAGATTAGGACTAAACAATCCAAATAGTTGTCAAGGTTCGGTCACAGAAGAATTTCGTATGGCCTGGGGCAAGGTGTTTGCATTGCCAGAGTTTGCAATTACTCGTGCCGGTTGGAGGGATGCCTCGAAGCCGCCTTGCTCACAAATTCTCAATCGCACTTCAAACACACACACATACGCACACGCACACATACAGTCGCATGCTCGGGTTGGCTGTAACAACAGTTTATGGCCATTAGCGAACTGGGGGCCAAACAAAAGGCGCCAATTAACGCAGCTAAGGCTTAAGCAAATGGGCCCCAGGGCTAAGAGCGAACAAGTACTAAGGAAAACGCTACACGGTCTATCCTTTGCCTCAAAGCCTTGACCTTTATCTGCAGGCGATTGAAAGGGGTAGAGAGAGAGAAAGAGAGAGAGAGAGAGAGAGCAACCGAGAGAAAGTGAGAGAGAGGTTGGCAACAGCTGCTGCTGCTGTCTGTAAATATTTAATTGTTTATGCCATCGCCAAAGCGTGCCTCAGCCATTTGGCTCGCTTTTGAGGCACTTTTAATGGACAGCCAACACACGCAGAAAGAGAGAAAGAGAGTGTGTGTGAGAGAGAGAGAGAGAGAGCGAAAGCGCTGGCTTAGCATGGCTAAGCTAAGCTCCATGGGGCGGAGGCCAGGCGATTAAAGCTAACGCAAAGTAATTAGTAACTCAATTGCTTTTCAGCTACAGCGCTGAGTGGTGCTGCATACAAATGGCTTCCGTTATTGGCGGTTTTGCTTGGATCCCGTTGGGTGGGCGCCAGCTTGCCAGAGCCGGCCGGAGCTTCATAAATTATGCATAGCTAAATGGTAAACGTAATTGTGCGAAAAAAGCAAGCATTTTGGTCAAATCAATTGGCAATATGACAGCCGAGCGACGCGCAATGATTATAAAAGGCGAACAGAAGGAAAAACGAAATAGAAAGCAAAAAAAATTGAACCGAGACGCATTGCAATTGAGGTCAACAATATTAGCGTCAATTTTTAGCTGGCTTAAGCACAGCTGCGCTCCCATTCCGGGCTTAAGCAAATTGATGTCTGCTCGGCTGCCCATCAGCGTGGCATCTCGCCCATCGGGGTCAGCTTAAAGATTTTGAAGTCCTGTCTTCGTTATCCAGAAAGTTGGACTTTGGACTGTTCATTTTTTAAGCACAGCTCAACGAATGGAAGCCGAACATAAAAGACTCGCTCGCCAGCCGGCACCTCCGATGCTGCACAAATTTGGAAATTGCGCGCTTCCGTCCACGCCCACGCCCACGCTCACGCTCACGCCATCGCAAGAGTCCAGAGCCCTTGCGCTAGTTTTTTGGCCGGAAATACAAAAGCATAAACTTTCCGGCCAGCCAGCAAACCGCAACGACAGCGTCCGAAAAGAAAATAAAAAATAATGTAGAAAATCACAAAATATGGCGGAAGTTTAATGGACAGAAACTTGCTAGCTGATCCCGCTAACAGAAATAAAGAAGAAGAAACACAGAGAAAGCCTGAAAAGAAAAGAAGCGCAAGCAAAGGAAATACGCCAAGTAAATTAGTCGAGAGCCTGTCGCTCGCTGAAAAGAGCAAATGCAATATTTCGAATGGAAGTGGAATATTATTCAACTTCACTGATTTCCTACAGCGAAATATTAATTACAACTTTGGCCCAGCAGCAGCAGCAGCCGCAGCAGTGAATGGCAATGCATTGGCCGCGGCCCCAGCTAGAGACAAAGTAAGTTTTCAGTTTACTTTAAATCACGAGCAGAACATTCTTTTTGGTTTGGCTTGCCCAACTTTTGTGGCTTACATTGTGAATGTGTGTGTCTGTGGGTGTGCGTGTGGGTGTGGGTGTGGCTGGTCCAAAGGCCAAAAGCGCAATTTACGTTTATGGCAATGAAGGTCAGCGTAACAGCCGCACAAATGGACTAAAGGTTTATTGTAGTTGTATAAATTATAATAATAACAAAATGAAACAACAACAACTGAGAAGCAACGAGCAACTGAGATGAAAAACTCGGGTAACAGCATAGCAAGAAGTCAACGGGGATTGCTTGCAATTAAATGAGAATTCAGCTGGGCTTAGGTAAATAACTTAAATGGTAAAATAGAAATAATAAAATAATAAATAAAAAAAAAAATACGTGAATAAATATATAAATAAAATAAAATAAATAATTGAATAATATGCATGTATTTGCCAAAGCACAAGACCCTAGTATTTGAAATACGCCTTTTACAAATGTGATGGTAAGGGGGTGAATTAAAGGTGGGGAAGGGGTAAATTTTGACAAAAACCGAAATTGTATAAAATGCATATAAATATACATATAAAATTTGAAGAGTCTAGCTTCAAAGATGTAGCAGATATAAATTTATTACTGGTTTTCGATAATGTTTTTAATCAATAACAAAATAACGGGGCAAGCTATCGATATTTAAAGCAAAACTCGATATGCGCGTGCTATACACGGACCTAGGAAAAAAATTTCAAATCTCTAGCTCTTATATCTTCTGAGATCGACGCGTTCAAACATACGGACAGACGGACAGCTAAATCGACTCAGATCGTCGCCCTGATCAAGAATATATATTATTTATGGGGTCTGCCACGCCTCCTTCTGCCTGTTACATACATTTAACAAAACCATTATACCCTGCTTTCCCATTTTCAATGGGTTCAGGGTATAAAAAAATAAAAGTTGGCCTAGTCTGCAGAAAAAGACAAACAAAGAAATCTAGATGACAACGAATATGTAAAAAAAAAAAATAAAAAATTTAAAGGCTTTAAGCAAAGTAATGGCCTATGACAAATTTAAAGGCAAATTTCCCAGATGAAAAAACTATTTAAGCTGTTAGAAAATTCCCTAGCATAAATAAAAAGAACAATTTTAAAGAAATTTTACAACTTTATTGATTGTCTCATTATGTGGCCTCTCTTAAATCTCAGTCAACAATAATTATAAGATTTTAAAGTAAACCAAATACTAGTTTATCAGATGGGAAGGAAAACCCAAATTACTTTAAAAGCCTTGCGAGAAAACTTTGAAAAGAAAATACTAAACAAATACCAGATTTTATGCGTAAACAATGTGTAAGCGGCTTTAAACGACAAAGTTGTACAAAGAGCGAGCCAGGTCCAACGAGCACTCGTTGCCAGAGTTCTTTGCTTTCTTGTTTGTTTGTTTGCTTTGTTGTTGTTGTTGCTGTTGTTGTTGTTGCTGTTGTCGTTGCTGTTGTCGTTGTTGAGCAAATGACAAAAGTTGCTGGCTTTGTTTTTCGTACGGTTGACGTGCAATTCGAATGCGTTAACAGCTCAGAGAAGTGACCTACATACCAATGGCAGCAGCAACAACAGCAAAAACAACAACAACAACAACAATAACAGCAG